CCTCGCTTGTTTTCTAGCCTTTCCTTTCCTTTCCTTTCCTTTCCTTTCCTTTCCTTTCCTTTCCTTTCCTTTCCTTTCCTTTCCTTTCCTTTCCTTTCCTTTCCTTTCCTTTCCTTTCCTTTCCTTTCCTTTCCTTTCCTTTCCTTTCCTTTCCTTTCCTTTCCTTTCCTTTCCTTTCCTTTCCTTTCCTTTCCTTTCCTTTCCTTTCCTTTCCTTTTTGTAACTTCCCACAGCATGTTACAGCAGCTTTGTTTTTCTTTTTGCATCATGTGGACTTTCCTCCCTCTTGAACTTCTTACTCAATATGCAAAATACACTCAAAACCTGGTAATACAGAAATTTTTCCACCACATCTCTCTCTAGTGTTGAGGAACTGGCTAATAAGTGAAGTGCTACTATTTAAATTGCTAATCACATATAACAAAATGTCATTTTATTTTTGAACTTCTGACATTTCACCTCTGTTTTCTTTACAGAAAACATTCTGTGGTTCTATCAGAAATTGTTATTCATTGTGGCAGATGTTCTCTCTGCTCTAGTGCTGCCTCATAATCTGAAATGCCACTATCTTGATTGTTTGATAGTGCTAGCTACACTTCCCTGGTTTCCACGGCAGGCCAGAGGGCTTTTGTGGCTCCCAGGGAGGAGCGTGGATATGCAGGGCATGGCCAGGATCCCCCGTGGCTTGTGCAGGGCTGACTGAGATGGTTTGAGGGCAGGTTTTTGGGACAGTTTACGGTGAACACAGCTGTACACATAACTGGATACCCCACAGCTCCCTCACAAGCTCCTTTCAGGGCTGTGGAGGTGCAGGTGTTGAGGTGAATTGGTGGCAGGCAGCTCTGATGTTGGGAGACCAAAAGCCATTCTCACTTCTGGCCTTCAGAGGCATCTGTGCATCAGGAGCAAATGCTCTCGCAGGTACTGCTCTTCCAAAAAATGCCAAAATGAATCAAAAATGAACTTACCACAAGCAAGAAGAGATGAAAATTTATAAATTGCTTGCAGAATAACCAGAGAATCTCTTCTTTGTGGGTTTTGCACTATTGTCAGTAATGGCTGGAAAACGTGTGGGTAAGGTATATAAATGTGTTATGCCAGGTAGTATAGAGCCATAGGTGATGTCTGAAGCATGGAAATGGACTTGGGTGTCTTGGAAATTGCCTTGTTATTATTTTGATATGTATGTCAGAGCAGCGTGGGGGGGATAGCACAGGCAAAACATGGACAGAGACAGATGATGATTTGGGGATTGGTGGTAATTTTGTTTCAAAGCATTCTCCAGGGTTTTGTAAACTCTGGGACAAATATGCATGACAGGATTGGTACTTCAGTAATCAGAGATTTTCTGGGGATAAGATCAAAACAGATTTCACAGGGCAATTGCTGCAAGGACCAGTTTGGTTAATATGAGTTAGAATGGATTTGGGACAATATAGTTGCATTATAATTTAGCATTATAATGGGATGGGTGCATTCTTTTACCCCTAAAATCTCTTGTGGAGAAATGTAATTTAGGAAATGCTTTGGTTTCACCCCAGTTCTTAGCACAGCAGTGTGCTCAGCAGAAACCAGCAACCTTCCCCACAGTTTTAAACAATGAAAAGGCAGAGGGCTGCAGAGGTTGAACTAGCTTGCATCACCTAGGAATGCTACTTCACAGCCCAGTTGGGGATCCAGAAGGGGATCAAGCATTTCTTTTAGGCTATCTGTTGAGGTAATACTGTAACTGATTCTACACCAACATTACTCAGGTATTTAGGAAGCACAACAGGTGCTAAGAGCAACACCCCATGGAAATGAAATGCTGCGCTGTGGTGGGTCGCACTGCTGCCCCACAGGGTGAGCCTGCAAGCATTTGGGACAGCCCTGCTCCCTGTGCTGCTGCAGACAGTGGGAAGAATACTCATTGTCAAAAATTTCCACATGGCTGTATTTTTCTTAAATTAACACAACAGATAAGAGCAAAGTTTGCATCCTACAGAGATCATCCCATGCTGATGTTCAGTTCTGGATCTTAGCTTTCTGTTGGCTGGGGACAATCACACCATGAATTTTGATCAGGAAACTTTTTTTTTTCTTTCCTCTTTTTTCCTCCACACTCCCTTTTATCTAAAATGTACTGGAGCCATGTCTAACTGCCCACATGGGGCATATATTATGTGAGATATACTACCACAGTACCCAGCGGTACCATGGAAGAATCCATTCCCACCACTGACTTTCCCACCACAGTCACAGAAAACTGCAGAGTGCTGGTTCTGTTACCCATTAAAACAAAAGTATGTAATGAATGCAACTGGCATCAAAATCAGTGGAGAGCAAATACATAAAGCTTAACAGAGTTTAAATCATAATATGATTTGTCCATCCACTCATGAATGCATGCCCTGCTTTAAACTCTGCAGAGACAGGCCAGTGCTGCACTGTGTGTGACAGAGTACTTCTATTGCTTGTGTGGCCAGAGTAGAGGCAGCTTGGCATAGGCCAGAGAAGATGACCTGCTATTATTACCTGAAATATGTAATCTCAGTCTACATTGCCTACTTCTGAAGATTACACTACAATTTGGTGTTGTTGTTTTTTTCCCCCTCTGGCCAGAATGGTGTTCATGCTAGTATTATTTCCAGATAATTATAGCATGTATCTTCTTAGAACACAGTTTTCATAAGCAAACAAATTGCAGAAATAGTATTATTCATCACATATAAGCATGCCATTTTCTTTTCTTTCAAAACCTTTTATTTGGAAAATTATTCAATACCTTTGCCTGAGTTCAGTAACAGTGCTCTATGGGTCTAGGTTGTTTTGTTTGATTTTGGTTCTATTTGCTCAGCATATCGTGCTTATGACCCAGGTTCTCATTTGGTAAATATTGCTGTAACTGAGTTCACTTTTTTGATGTACTTAAATCTTTTTGCAGCAAATAAGGACTTGACCCTCTATCTCTCTGAGCAAATAAAACATTGTGTGTTAGGGGGGGAGCTGCTCTAGAGTGCTCAGAAAGCTCCTGGCCATATAATGTTGAGATCTTAACAGAAGCAACCTATTTACTTTTGATCTTAAGAAATGTTATTCCTACATCTTCTGTTTACTGCATAGAGGACATGATGTGCCTGATGGGAGGGTATGTGTTTTGGCATGTGGCTTAAGACACCTTTGGTAGAAAGCCATCAAAGCTGACTTTACTCACAGGAAAAGGGAAGAAAGGTCCTGGTGGACTGACCCAAAGCCTTGTCAGAGCTTGTTACGTCTGGGTTTTCCTCTGCAGCTTCACACACTGGTGAGCTTCTTCTGGCTACCTGGTCCTTCCTCTCATTGTCAGGGCTGTTTCTAATATAGGAGTTCATGGTGCACCACAGTGACCCAAATGGATAAGTTTTCTTGAGCTAAAAATACATTCTGTCCAGATCTGTTTATTGTTCTGCATTGTTTGGAGTTTGGATCAGCTCTTTGGCATGGTTCACTGAGCAGCCCCATGAGAGAGGGAGAAGGAGAAGCATGTGTGCAACCATGCCCTCAGCCTGCTGCATCAGCCCCAAGTTAGAAAGCAGTGAAAAAGAGTATGTTTATCAGGATGGCTGACCCAAGTTCAGAGTGCCAGCACTTCTGTGATCCTAAGGGAAGCAGATCTGAGTGCATGCTGTTTCTCCTGGAGCTCATTTCTGTGGCCTGGCTTTTCTGGCTGCACAGTCTAGCTGGTGCCAGAGCTGCACAGAGTTGAAGGTAGGCATGAGTGGTCTCAAGGACAAAGCCAGGGCTCCAGGGCTCCTCCTTCTGCCTATCCTTGGGTTCAAGCTGTAACATTAAAAACTGCAGCTTCTGCACAGAACCTGTCGAGCTTTGTGCTCTATCCCTGATCCATGTTTTCACCTTGGAGGATAATACCGCTCAAAATCCCAGAAGACCTCTGGGAGGACTCTTTGACTTTTCCAGCCAGTGCAAAGCCTCTTCACCGCCATCCCCAACAACAATGCCTTTTCCAGGGCAGACCTGTATGTGACAAGGTTTCTAACGTTCTGCCTTCAAAATGTGGCCACTCCACAAAATAAGACCCCTCCTGTGACTCTGGTTGATAATTAGTGGTCGTAATACTCAGGAGTATAAATGCAGATTTTAAGCATGAACACTCTGGAGCAGTTAACTTGGAAAATGGAGCAGAAAATCCTGCTTAAGAATTTCTCATCCATTACAGAAATTTGAGACATATATAAAAGGGTCATTTTCTACACTTGATGCTCATGTAGTAACAAGCGACTTAAATGGTGTAATTCACAGTCCTTGTTAAACTGTCCCCATTTACTAACAGTTGCCACTCTGATCCTGAGTGCTGCGATGTTTATGTAGATATATGAAGAGAAATAATGGAACAATGTGAGTGAATGGCCTGTTTCAAACATGGATGAAGAAAATTTCATATGTTGTCAGTGTGGTTCTGTAATGGTGATGACTGCATTGAGAAGTAATACATGTTCAAGTCACTGGTTTTGACATGTGGTTTTATCACTGCTTATTAAGTTACTTTTCCTACTAATGAAACATCAGTTGTTTGGTAGATCTTCAACAGGTGTTTTCCCTCTTGAACTTATTTCCAGCTTTGTCAAGTGTCTTTGTTATTTGCTTTATAGTACCCCACACAATGGTGTTATAGTTTGTGACTGGTGCTTCTAGGAATTATGATTCTATAAAAGTATCACTTCGTTATTTTTTTTTCCAAGTTAAAAGAATGCAGTTATTTCAGTGTGTTATGGAAAGCTACGAGGTCAGGCTAGGGATGTGTTATAGTAATGGTGAGATGAAGGACTACTTTGGCTCCCACTGAAGAACAAAGTTGGGTTGAAGTTTTCTACCTGGAAAGTATTGTGAAGTCTTCTATAACATTGTTTTATGTATTATTCTTCTTTTTTCCTTATTGCATAGCATGGAGATGTTTTAATATAAGTCTTTATCCTGTACTTATTCTTGCTTTCCTTCATGGAGCTTTCTTCTTTGTTCCACAGTATGTCAAGGGACAAATAACAAGCTGACCCAGCTGGGGCATGTGGAAGACCATTTCACCAGCCTTCAGAGGATGTACAACAACTGTGAGGTGGTCTTGAGTAACCTGGAGATTACCTACGTGGAGCACAATCGTGATCTCTCTTTCCTGAAGGTTAGTGGTTTTGGCCAATGCGATCTTTCCTGCTAAAGGAATCTTACTGCATTTTTTAAGTGCAATGGATCAGTTAACTATAAAATGCTGTGGTGATCCAAAAACATAGTTAGTTATTGTCAGAGAAATCACAGATTACAATTTCAGCATGTATGTAGGCTGCAAGTTGGGCTCAAATATACAAAATCAGGTACTTTGAGAAATAGCTTTTCAAGCACTGCCCCCCAAACTGTGTTGGCTGCCATGCAGATGGGTTTCTTTGTATTTATAAATACTTTTGTGTGCTTACTCGTTGTCTTACTGCGAGAGGGCAAAAGCCTTTGTTGTACAGTTGGGCAAAGCAAATCATGCAGGGAGTGGCAACCCTCTGATGGCAGATTTTGAAACGTGGAAGCTGTTACCCTTCCCTCCAGGCTGTGACCCCCTTCCCTGCCATGGTGGTGAGTGCCTCACTGGTCTACCAGTGCCAGCATCCCAAGCAGGCAGGCAGCTGCGGCCTGCACCAGCTGCGTTTTTGTGTGACCTTTGAGGTAATCCTCTGCACTTAACGCACAGGCTACTCCCATCGCAACATTTGTTCTGGGTACAACTGCATGAGCTACAGCAGTAAGACGGGAGGGGAGCAGACAGGATGGATGTCAAAATGCAGCTGGAGCATGAGGAGGAGTGCCCTGTCACGGGCACCCCTGGGATCACCCACCAGCAGACACCAGACAAGGAGTTCCCCCTTGTCCCCTTTTGTTCCCCCACTGCCAGGATGCCAGCAACATTTTCGCACCTTAAGTTATATTTTTTAAAAGAAGGTGTTTTAAATGCATTACTTTTGGCATTTCTGGTTATCAGATTAGGAGGTTTACAAAGAAAGAAGCAGGAAGGGGAAGATACCTTTTTGACATGACAAATGTATATCTGGTACCAAGAGCTCTTGTATGGTAGATCTGAATGTGCAGGTCAGCACTCTGAGTTCAGAAGACTAATCTTTTTACATGAGCTTTCCTCAATAAAGAAATGAAAAAGAAAAACAAAACAAACAAAAAAAAGCTTTAGTGTAATAAGAAAGAACATCAGAAAAGCAATGTTTCAGACATATGGGTTATAAATCCAACAGTACTGCTTTTTTTCTTTCCAAGAACAACTTGAACATGTAGCTCAGTGTCCCCAAAAACATAAAAGGTCTCCTGAAAAACCACTTGTAGACTTCATAGAGGAGAAGAATATCCTAAGAAATAGTCTGAGGATTTTTCATTTACAATGATTTTCATATGAGACAGAAATGCACACATTTCATAGTACAAGACAGGCATTAACCTACATCCTAGGTTAGTGCCTCTCTTGTTTTTTTGTCTTGCAATTGCCTATTACTTGAAAGAGATGGTCACCTGATCTTCCCCTCTGCTGAGCATTGGAGCATTGGTTAGGGAAGGAGCACAGAAGAGAGAGAGTAAAAGCCTCAATCAAGTCTTTGCTACAAATGGTTGGAGGTTGGGCAAGTATTCAGGGGAAGAATCATACGCAGTTGGCATATCATATGTGCTTGCCCAGTTCTCCAGCATCCCCTAGGCATCCCTGCTTGCCCTCGCTTGGAGACAGGATACAGGTAAGCAGACCCTTTGGAGTGACCCTCTGGCAGCTGCTCTTAGAGTCAATCAAATCAATCAAATACAGAATACAAGCATGAAGTCAGGTCTTCTCAACTCCCTTTTCCACATAGTCCCTTCTTGTTCTCTGATATATTTATTTATTTAATGAGATTAAGTGCTTTATTGTTCATTAAAACTAAAAGATGGTGGATTGGAGAAGTGAGGGAAGGAAAGAAACTTTGTCAAGGGGAGTAACGCTGGCTTGTAGAAAACTTTTATGGATTAAGCTCCTTGTTTCTTCTGTTGTTCTTTCAGACCATACAGGAGGTTGCAGGCTATGTGCTCATCGCGCTTAACATGGTGGATGTCATTCCCCTTGAAAACCTCCAGATTATCCGAGGCAATGTGCTTTACGACAATTCTTTTGCCCTGGCAGTTTTATCCAACTACCACATGAATAAAACCCAGGGACTTCGAGAGCTACCGATGAAACGGCTATCAGGTGAGATGACTGCAAGAGGTGGAGGCACCCACAAAGTAAACTTCAGCCATACAGTTATTGGTATCAAGATCTAACCAAAGATCTTCTCCCAGTCAGTGCTTTAAAAACTGCATGTAGTTTCTCAGTTTCCTACTTGCTTTCCTTCTACCCAGCCATTTTCAAAAGATAAAGAAAATTCCTAGTTTTCCAATACAAAAAGATCCAGAAAGTCCAAAGCCACAGGGTGGTGAGATTTGTGTCCCCCAAAATGGCAAAGAATCATTCCCTTCTTATTTTTTATTCTGTGATTCCAATGTGTACACTTCAGTATTTTCTTTTAAATTCCAGTGGGAGCTGGTGGTGTGTAAAGAGCTGCAGATTTAGGGTCTTACATTGTCTCTGGCTGTGCAAACCATCATGCCTAGTTCAACCTCTACCAGAGATCACAACTGCTGTAGCAGAGGCAGCAGAACAGATCGTATGCCTCATCTTCTGCCACAACAGTTGATGCAGGCTTGGTAGCACTAAAAGGAAGTGTTTGCAAGAGGAAGCTGGACCATGAGGTGCAGCAAGTAAAAACAAATTCCTGTCTGCCATCTCTGCTGAGGGCTGTGGCCTCTGTAGCTGACACTGGGTGTAAAACAACATGTAGTGACATCTGAGTGGCATCCAACAGCTGCCAACCCTCAAAAACCTGTCAGTCTGAGCCCGGTATTAATTGCACCTTCAGGTGTGCCTGTGTCATGCAGACTGTCCATTTCTATAAACATAGTGTGATGAAGGTGAAGAAGTCTGTATTTTGTTTCCCTTTCTTTAAACCTAAGAGAGAAGACTTAAGCAGTTGGCTTCACTCATTACTTTTTTTTCTTTTCATGGCAGAAATTCTCAATGGAGGTGTTAAAATCAGCAACAACCCCAAACTGTGTAACATGGACACCGTCCTATGGAATGACATCATTGACACAAGCAGAAAGCCTCTCACAGTACTTGATTTTGCAAGCAACCTGTCTACTTGTAAGTATTAATTTACCAAAACGCAATGTGCTTCCCCATTTCAGGGAGAAGAACTAACAGTTCGACTTTTGTGTTGTGGGTTTCAGGTCCACCAATTCTTGCATGCAGGGCCATCGAACCTTCTTCCAAGGGAAATTCTTCCTAACTGGCATATTATGTAATTTTTCATTGTGGTTTGCTGCTTAACACGTAGCTCAAAGAAGCTTTTCTTGCTTTCATACAGTACCATATGTATGCTTTTCTTTAAAGACAGCCACACAACTCAGAATAATGTGCAATCATTTGTTTTCTAGAAATCTTTTATTTAAAGATTTTAAATAAAATCTTTAAATTAAAGGTTTTTAACACTCCCTGGAACATAAGTTCCTCTGGAACTTAAGGCCTTTTTTGCTCTAAGGCTCAGATTTCTATTAGAGTGCTGTAAAACGCCGGTGTTTTGGGCTGAATGGATAATCCTTGCAAAAATTATGATAAGAGGCAGATAAATCTGATGCTTTAGATCAGGAGGAAGGAAATTGTATATTTAAAAGTTTGTGTTATATGCCTAAAGTATGCTCAAACTAATCCTTGAGGCTTACAAATCCCTTGTAAAATCCCCAGTTACCTCATAGGAAGGAGAGTTTCTTTCAATTTCTGAACATTTCACCTTTGGCACTGCAAATTGGTGGAAAACATTTTCTTTATCTTCTAGTTGCATAATTGCTGGGGAGCCAAATAGCCAGCTTCTGTGTTGACATACTTGCTGCGGAGCCCAGTGTAACCAAGGGGCTGTGAATGACATAAGTTATCACAGGAGCCTGACTCTGAACACTGCAGAAATGTTAACCTTTAACTTTTAAACTTAAAAGAAAAAAAAAAAAAAAAAAGTACAGTTCTTTGCTCCCACATCAAATCTGTCAGCTCTTGGACAAGTATTGGCATTTGTTCAGCTATGTGATGGGCAGTGAGGGGGAGGGAGAATCACGTGTTACCAGCAGGAGGAATCACTCTAATAGGAAATGCCTCTTAAATGTAGTAAATTCCAGATTAATCTGCTTAGACAGCCATTTATGGTTTTAATAATGATCCTGAAATCGAAATTCTTTGGGACTTTACTTGTCATTAAGAGTAAAAAAAGATAGAATAGTAAGCACAGCAGGAAGAGGAAGGAGGAAGAGGTGTGAAAGGGATGCTTAATACCGATAGCCTTGTACTGAACAACATCAAAGTTCACGCAGGGTGTCCGTCCATCCTGCTGCCTCTCCAATGATTGTCTGTCTGCTGCGTAGACCTAAGCTGAGGAGTATTTTTGGCAGAAGGCAGGAGGAGGGCACGAAGCAGACAAGTAGAATTGCTTTGTGGTCAGAGTAGCTGGCAGTTGCCTGCAAATCCAGTTGGTTTTGTTTTCTTCTTAGAAATGTGCATTGATTTCCACGTGGCCTGCAGCAAGCAGCTGGCACATGCCTGACTGCAGGCCAGCAGTGACTTGCAGTTTTATGCAAATTCAAGCCCAAGGCCCAGTCGGACAGTGGCTGAGATTCCAGTTCCTGGGAAAAATACTCCTCTTTCGTCAGCTAGACTGTCTGGGTATTGTGCTTGCTTGCTAAAAGGTGTGGAGAACTGCACGTAGGAATCCAGTGATGAACAACAGATAAGGATTTGAGGTCCAACTCTCAAAATTTCTGAGCACCAGAATACAGAGGCTTGCTTCTCCCCCTGTTTTACTGAGATTGAAGGCTCAAGGTTTTGTTTTGTGTGACACCTATGATGTTGTCATCCAGGGTTTAAACAGCAAACATTTTTATAATGCTCCACTCTCATGTTTTAGGTCCAAAATGCCATCCGAACTGCACAGAGGACCACTGCTGGGGTGCTGGTGAACAGAACTGCCAGACATGTAAGCTTGCAGATTAATTAAGAATGATCTTGGGTGCTACAATCTGACTGACTAACCTTCTATCTACTGAATAGTTTACCTGTCAAGTGAGCACTAGCAGCAAGTGTTTTACACTGGTCCTTTTCTCAGTCCTGCTATGCTAGAACTCCTTGAAGCATACCACCAACACACGTGGCCTGCTTCTCCTTGCAGTCCAATGGGCATGATAAGGGGTCTGAAACCAGCCTCTTATATCACATGTGCACATAAAGGCTTCCTGCTCCAAAAAAGGTCATTCACAGGGATCACAGAATCACAAAATGGTTTGGGTTGAAAGGAACCCTTCACGATCATCTGGTCCAACCCCCCTACTGTGAGCAGGGACGCCTTCCACTAGATCAGGTTGCCTAAAGCCCTGTCCAGTCCTACTTTGAACACTTCCAGTGATGGGGCATCCACAACTCTGGCCCATCTGAGCAGCTCTGCTTCTGGATGGGAAGTCTTTAGGTGGTTTGACGTGGGTCTGGGTTTCTTGGCAGATGAGATATTTCTCCAGAGTGAAAAGATTGCAGCTGTTTCCTGCGTTGAAAGCTTTTATCTGCCTCCCATAACTTTCTCCCATCTGTGCTTGAGAACATCTATCCTTTAAGTTATTTTACCATATAAGAGAGAATGCAGTAGCTGCAAGGTGAATTGTTTGTGTTGCAGCTGTTGCCAGCAGAGCAGTTCTGTTGGCTGTTTAACAATGCTTTTGATTAACAGTAGAAGCAACAACATAACCTGATTTTTGCTGCTTTCATTCCCTTTTTTGACATCCCTTTAGGTTTCTTTTAGAAACGCAAATTATGTCACCATCGCATGAGCAGTAACGCTACATATTGTACTCAGAAGACCTTTTTCAAGGCCTTCTGAAAATGTATAGCCATCTTTTTCATTTTGAAATGGAGACATTGGGATTGTGAGGTTGTTTGGTTCGATTGCATGTGTTTCACTGTAAAATTTTGCAGGTAGGCTGCTTGCCTGATATTGTGAGGGTAGATAACATATAGTCAGAGGTGTTTGAGATTTTTCAAGGCTTTGTTTCTCCTAAAGTAAAGTTGAGGAGGAAGAGTGTCTCAATTTTTTGATACTTCATTATTTCCTTTTTGTATAACAATTGGGGAAATACACTGTTTATGATTCTTCTTGCCTTACAGTTTTGTGTAACCCTGTAAAGTTTAGTGGAAAGTTTGCTGATCTACACTACAACAAATGAGAGCAACATCCTGCCTTAGGTTTTTCCATTGTAAATAATGACTTAGAGCAGAGTTTCTTGCTTGCGAGTGTCAAGTCAAGTCTGTACAACTTCTTCAGCTTACAGAAAAAAAAAAAAAAAAAAGAAAAAAAAAAAGAACATAGAGCCTCTCCCTCTTCATTTACTATAAACTTTGTTTTCTCTCGGTCAGCTCTGGAGACTGGTTTGTGCCTTTGCAAGCACAGTGAATTGCTTTCAAGGTGGACAGTGGTTGCGTACACGAAGGTCTTTCTAGGTCGCTCCCTGCCATTGAGACAGCACAGCTGTCCCATGGGCTTGCAAAACGTCAGGTCTCAATCCGGCAGACTTCCAGCACTCACAAACTCTCACTGGCTTTGGGAGGATTACTCAGAGTGCATAAAATGAAACCATTTGCAGGCTCTGGCTCTCCTCTTGAAGCATTTGAGAATCTGGCCAACTGAAAATGTATCCCACATTTCCATATGTGGGAAAGTTTGGTGTGATATTTATCTTTCTCCTTCGATGAACGTGGGATATTCTGTATGAAATATAAACGTTTGCCATGATACATGTTTCCAGCAGGAAGCTTCAGTCAATAGCTATCAAAGTGATGAGCTGTTTTACTCCCCTGCTGATGCTTATGAGAAAAATGTTATCAAAATGCTGTTCATGTAGAACAATGTGCCTTTTATTCCCCTGTTTCTGGTTGAACAGAGGAATTGCTATCAGAGAATCTAATGCGTAGTGTAGAGCTAATGTTTCCTTGAAAATACAATATCTTGCTTACAGACCTACAAGTAAAAATGAAATAATACAGCTTGGGTACAAAAGTGTATAATGGAAAAATATAGGAAGTGTGATTAAAAAGAAATAATTACGGTTGTGTACCCTGTAGCAGGTTACATTTTCTGATAGTTCTCTGTTAATTAACAACCATCTGTTTCTGACTTACAGGAACTCCTGGTAATGTTGTAACCCATTTGTGCCCATCTGGGAAGCTGGTAGCAGTTACTGTATTTATTGCACAGCTGAGGTGCTTGGGGTGCTGTGGTGTAGCGTGTTAGCAATCCACGTCCTCTGACCAAGGAGTCAGGTGCCTATCACCAGGGTCTGCAGATCAGTAACTTTTGTAGGGAACAGACAGACCTTTGGCCCATTGTACTAACATATGCAAGCCATTATTTCCTTTTTTTTTTTTTTTTTTAATTCTTGTAATTATTTTTTTCTCTGCTTGCTATTCAAATTGAGATGATTTCCTGATTTTAAACAAAATATTGCAGGCTGTTTTCCCTCTCCTGTAGAAAGCTGAATCAGGGCCAGCTATTCCTTCGGGTTGCCCTGGTGCAAACCCTGTGGGAGTAGAGTAACGAGAAATTTGGCCAAGAAATTGAAGCCTAAAGAAAAACAATATAGTATGTGTATGAGATCAGTTTGCTGAGTGGGTGTCCCCTCTCTCTGCAAATTTCCGAAATACATGTATTTTTAGTGCATTAAAGGAATCCTAGCACCCTACCAACAATGTATAGTTTCCCACTATAGCACAGAACTCTGGCACTTCTCCTGTTATGGTGTTTTTCCCGAAGCTAGCAGCAGTAGTAGCAGATTAGCTCAATAAAGTGGAGCCAAACCCTGCTCTATTACCCAGCTGAAAGTTGCAATGACTCCCAGAATTTTCTTGCTCTTTCTAAGCAGGACATGATGTGCTGGCTGGGACCAGAGGGCTTAGCACCTCACAAGAGCCAAGATAATTAAGGGCAAAATACATCCCCGCCACCCACACCAACTCTCACCCTTCCTCACTTTCTCCTGACTTGAGGACAGAATATGCATCCCATGGGGAAACTAGGACAGATTCTACATGAGACATTTCCTCCATGTTTATCAATTTCATTGCAGACAATTCAGCCTAAACTTTCTTAATTCCTGTTTTTTTTACTTCTTTGTCTTCCAGTAACAAAAGTCATCTGTGCTCAGCAGTGCTCTGGCCGGTGCCGGGGAAAGGTGCCCAGTGACTGCTGCCACAACCAGTGTGCTGCAGGGTGCACAGGGCCTCGGGAGAGCGACTGCCTGGTAATGATGCTACAACGTCATCAGTGCTTGAAAACCTGGCTCAGAGGGGCAGGCACAAAAGATCTGGTCTGGGGGACCCTGGTGGTGTGGAGGGGGAAGGAGTAAATCCAACTTTTTTAGGAATAAAAAATGCTATTGCTTTTCCACTGAAGTTTCCGTGGGCTGGTACATGCTGTGATTTTAACTCCTCCCCACCTCTGCACTATATGGCATTCAAAGTTAAGTGACACTCAAGTAATTCCCACAGCAACTGTCTAGTTTGTGTTTTGTTGCTGTTATCTGTATTCCTGGTGCAATCTGAGAAATCTCATGGCTAGGATGCCCTTACTGGCTCACAGGGAAGAGAGTTATTCTCTTTAATCTGGAAAGCCGGGGTAAAATAAAGGGAAGGAGGGAATAATTATTAATTTAATGCAGGATTGGGTTGGAAGAACCAACTTGTCCTTCGTAAAAACCTGCTAAATTGTTCATTACCTACAGCCAAATAGAACATCTTCTGTTTAATATTCAGCCACAAAAGTCAATAATAGGCAGGAAAGAACTTGATTTGATTGAGGTTATTAAAAAGTGGCTGGCCAAGAAAGTACCGTTTGTCTTGATCTGGTTACTGCTTGTAGGGAAAATTCTTCTGTCTGAGGCATGCAGATTCACTCCTGTTCCCACGTGAATCCCAGCAGCTCTCCTCCAGAGTGCCAAGGTTTCTTGTTCAGAACAAGAAAACCTCACGTTCACTCTTTTCTTTCAAATATCAAACTAAATTGCCCAAGGGTGCCTGAAGCACCCTTTCACCTCCAAAGCACAAAGGACCATCCCCGTAGTTGCTCAGAATTTCCATTAGAGCTAAGAGGAAGCAGCTGAGCCCATAGGAGTGTTTTTAAACAGCTAATATAAAACCCTTGTAGCTTTTTAATGGTGCTGTTGTTCAATGCCAGGCATGCCGCAAGTTTCGGGATGATGCTACGTGCAAGGACACGTGTCCCCCGTTGGTCCTGTATAACCCCACCACCTATCAGATGGATGTCAACCCTGATGGAAAGTACAGCTTTGGAGCCACTTGTGTGAGGGAATGTCCACGTAAGTTCATTTCAGCTTGCTGCCACAGAAGAGATGAAGGCTTCGAGGGAGGTGGGAAGGGACCTGTGTCACCCTCTGTGTTACAGCCAAGTGCAGGAGCACTTGCTTGTTCTCCTCAGCTTCTCAGGGAACTGGGAGCAGGTAACAAGAATGAGAGAGTAGATGATAAAGAGGACAGCCTCTTCAGTCTTCCTGCATCCATCAGCTTCCCTGATTTTTAGTGGTTACACTCTGACTTCTGAAGATTCTCTCTTGATGAGGAGAAAAAACATCTTATGAGAATCATCAAAATGATGGCCAGGAAAGACATATGGGATCAATCCTGTGGATTACTGAAGCAGTATCAACTCTTAACTGGTTCTTATTTATGACAGATAGAAAGTCATTGGTTTAAATACTCTTTGTGAAATCCTGGGATCATTGCTTCCTCTACAGATGCTTGCTTTTTCTTTCACACTTTTCCATGCCCTTGGTCTCTTAAACAAACAAGACTTAAATGCAAGAGAGACTTTAGCATACAGAAGTGAATGCAGAACCTTTCTGAGGTTCACTACTGCCCTTCCTGGCCCTTACCCTGGAAGAGTTAGTGAAGCTGAGGGATCAAAAGGGATGTGTATTGATCCAGATAGCAGCACTGCTGCACAGTCTGTCCTTTGCAATGTTGTTTTACCCTTTTGCGACTGTTCTCCTCTCTTGTAAAATGGTGATAGCACTGCATGTCTGTCTGCTCTCAAAGGACGTGAAAATTAATAATTAATGCCTGTGCTTTATGTATGCCAAAAGTTCAAAAAAACCTTCTTTTTCCTAGTATTGACATACATGTGCATCCCCTGATGCATCCCGCCTGTATTTCAATGTTCTTTGTCATCCTTTGTTTTTCCAGACAACTATGTGGTGACAGACCATGGCTCCTGCGTTCGTTCATGCAATACTGATACTTATGAAGTGGAAGAAAATGGTGTTCGGAAGTGTAAAAAGTGTGACGGGCTATGCAGCAAAGGTATAAAAAGCATGGCATGAAACAATAAAGCTTTGAAATGATAGGTGATTTATTAGAATAAGTACATGGGGGTCTGACCTGAATTAAGATCTCCAAGTGCAAATTCAATATGCGCATCCACTGATAGTTTGCAGGTCTGACAAACCGTGTACTCAGAAAGCATGCCTGCAGAGCATGCTCTCCAGATGAGATACGCTGTAAGTACACTTGTGCAGATAAACTGCACTTCATGTGCGTGTGTATCCTGCACATCTGCCTTCTTTGTTTGCCCTTTCCAATATCTCATCAACAGGAATAAAACAAAAATGGGACAAAGAGGGAGAAGGGCATGTGCCAGAGCCTGTGTGCAGAGATGCTAGGACCAGAGCTGCACAGCTGTACAAGCAAGAAATGTTTGTTCTTTGGCATTTTCTGAAAAGCAATAGTAGACAAAAGATCTACGAGATCTTACAGAGGTGGGATTGACCAAGTGGGAGTGTTTTCTGGACTAGCAGTATTTTCATGTTTATTCCATTACATGTGATTATGCTTCTCTCTTCTCCCCCTGATTTTCATGTCTCTACTTTAACAGTGTGCAATGGCATCGGAATAGGTGAACTGAAAGGGATTCTCTCCATAAATGCCACAAACATTGATTCCTTCAAAAACTGTACAAAGATCAATGGGGATGTCAGCATTCTCCCAGTTGCGTTTCTAGGGTGAGTTGCAAGCTGGTCATTGAGCACCGGAGGAGAGGCGCTAGGGAGAAATTCAGGCTGATCCGTTCTCCCAATTCCTCATTCATTTTGTTTCAGGGATGCCTTCACAAAGACACTGCCCCTTGACCCTAAGAAGCTCGATGTCTTCAAAACAGTCAAAGAAATATCAGGTCAGTGATGTGTGCGAAGTGTGAGATGTTTTCTAACCGGTACTGCTAAAAACCCAAAGCAAGACCAGGGAAGTTTTCAAGCATGTGAGGAGAAGTGCGGGCTAATTGTTTCTGTCTCTGAGCTTCTGAGGGTCACCCCTCACAAAGGTGGTCAGCAGCATTTCACCAGTGTTACACCCAGGTAACCTGTACTGGCCTCCTGTCCAAGGTGTGTGGTTATGGCAGACCATCCCTTCTGCCTAATTGTCAGCCCTAGCGAGGAATGAAAGCAGAAGCAATCCCCAGCCACCCAAGAAGTATGTGGTGATGCAGGGGCGTGCCCCTCCGGCTAAAAAAAGCCAAGTGTTTCTATTTGTGGAAAACCTTTCAGCAACTCCTTAGGGAAGCGTGTTCAGTGCCTTGCCTTGCATCACTCCACTGGAGAGGACACCCTCCCCAGCCTGTCGAGCCCTTCCTGGGGGTAAGCACAGCTCCGCCAGCACAACGCAGCCACCAGAGCACTTGGCTGCAGGCTGGTACAAGTATCTATTAAAAGTAATTTTGTTCATCCCATTATAAAATAAGTATGATGTCAGAGCTGGGCCCATGGATGTGGCTGCAGACTACCTTTTTTCCCCCTCTCTTTTACCTGCCTTGTTCCCTTCAGGGCAGCAGTGACTAACCTCAGAGCTTCATACAGTGGCATGCAATTTCCCAAATCCTTTACCTCCTCCAGTGTGCCTCAGCTTAGCAGGGAAATTTGCTTGTCACAGCAAACACACACTGAGCTGCTGTCTGTTCCGCACCATTCCTGCTTTCTGCCCAATTTTCCTGTTGCCCAGGGGCATCTCACAGAGGAGACAGGGCAGTGCCTCGCTCCCGCAGCCTCTCAGGCAGGGTGCTCGCTGGCAGGAGTTGTCACTGGTGGCTCAGCGTAGCAGGATGTGCAGTTCCCTGACACACTGTTCTCTGGCTCTCCTCAGCCCTCGTGGTGGGCTAAAGAGTAAATTGTTTACAAAACGGTGTTTGCAAATAGCCCTGAAATGTCATGTCTCATTTTGAGATTCTCAGAAAAGCACATGGAAAGTACAAGTGCCTTCTCCCAGCTCAGGAGAAGCTGACAGGAGGAGGACATTTCACCTCCAACGATGACCGCATTTGCATTATTGTTATATATTTTTAATCTTCTTTTCTTCATTTCAGGATTTTTGTTGATTCAGGCATGGCCTGATAACGCTACTGATCTCTATGCTTTTGAAAATCTGGAGATTATCCGGGGCCGCACCAAGCAGCAGTAAGTAAATCACATGCCAGGCTGCCTGTAAAAGGAGTTCTCTTGAGAGCTGCGTTTCTCTGAGCACACCAGGGTATCTAGCACTGGGAGACGGGGTTGTCACAAAACCGATGCCAAACTGGGAAATAACCTGTGAGGTGCTGAGCACTGTTTTTGTAGCAGTTGAGTGGAATCAAACCTGCAACTCTGCGCTGCTTTTAGGGGGATGCAATGAGCCTGCTCTAAAGACTGTGCTCTCCCCACCCTAGCCTGTAAGTGTACAGGGCTGAGTGTGCCAGACAACTTATGATGTGATCAGAAGCACTTTGGGGTTGAAGACATTCGGTTTGGGGCTTGGTGGACAGTCAGAGATGGAGATGGTGGCTGCCAGGCAGAGCAGACAATAGCAGAGCATCCAGCACCCACCTGGGCTTGCCCCGAAAGGAAAGATGTTCTTGTGGACCCGTGTGAAATAGCTGTTCTACCTACTGCCATCATTGCACATCATTCATTGACAGAGTGCACACGTCCTGCCAGATTTAGCTTTGAATTTGCAGTTGAAAAAAATTCATTACGCAGCACCACATTTGAAAACCAAAAGAAAAATGTTCCAAGTACAACCCTGTTTACTAACCCTCCTTCTTCTGTGTGTTTTCTCCATTTTAGTGGCCAGTATTCCCTTGCTGTTGTCAATTTGAAAATACAGTCCTTAGGGCTGCGCTCCCTCAAGGAAATAAGTGATGGAGATGTTGCCATTATGAAGAACAAGAACCTCTGCTATGCTGACAGCATGAACTGGCACAGCCTCTTTGCTACTCAGAGTCAGAAAACTAAAATCATACAGAACAGAAATAAAAATGAGTGTGGTAAGTCAGAGCTACCTTCTTGCACCCACTGGAAGCTCATGCTAAAATGCAAAAGTAATTTGAGCATCCCCCTGGCTGCAAAATTCATCAGCGGTACTGCTTTGTTGGAGACAGGGAAAGAAAGATTCGTCCACAGAGGACGTGGGCTTCATGATGACTACTGTGACTGTAACTGTCCTGTTATGTGCCCAGTGAAACCACATAGGTTGAAGGACACAGAAGCCTGCTCTGAACATCAGAATTGTTTGGCAAGTTTGTTCATGCATGTTGCAGTGCTCCCTTGGCCAAAATCTAATTATTTCTCTTTGCAAAATATGATTTTTTTTTTTTTTTTTTCATTTTGGAATATATATCTCCTCTGATACTGGTTCAGCTTTACTGTATGGCTGTTGGGTGGTCACAGAACTCATTTTTATTTTGAAAGGCCAGGAATTGCTCCTGATTTCAGGCTTTGGGAATTATGGGAACCAAGATTATTCCTCTTCCACACTACCAGGACTGTTCTTGTCTGCTATGGAATAGTTTGGAAAAACTGGCTGTCAGGATAGACTCGTTTGCAGTGCTGTGTCTGCCCTCTCTCCTGCCTTGAAGCTTACGGCTTCTTCTCTTTTCTCTCTCCCCCTCTCAGCTGCTGAGAGGCACGTGTGTGACCCCTTGTGCTCGGATGTGGGCTGCTGGGGCCCAGGGCCCTTCCACTGCTTCTCCTGCAGGTTTTTTGGTCGCCAGAAGGAGTGTGTGAAACAGTGCAACATCCTGCAAGGGTAAGGGGCCTGAGGGGTGCTTGGGGTTTTGGCAATGATTTGGGGGAGGGGGGTATTGATTTTAGAATGCATGAGGCTAGAAAGCAAGCAACCCAGAGGGTCTCTGATTGCTCCAGATTTCACCCACTTGGCAAGGGTGTTAGTCTGAGCTGAGCACTGTGCCTCAGCAGAGAAAAGCTGAGAGCAGAGGTAACTCTCCTTCCCTGGTTGGTATTGCCCAGGAGTGTGCTCCCAGCACAGCTACCAACATGAATAAATTGCCCCAGGCCTGCCGGGAGGCTATCAGCAGGCCCAAGGAGGCCAACCACTACCCTTCCTTCCCATACGACATAAAGGAGCTTAAAACCCCTGAAAATCCAAGCCAAGCCTGTCACATTAAGCACATCTGTCAAGATTCAGAGCCAGTTGTAGTCACGGAGAATGCAGTCACCCCCTGAAGTCACACACTGCAAAGGGACCCTTAGGTATGCTCAAGGTGATGGATTTTCTGGACATGTTTCAGGAGGTCAGAGGCTATCCCAGGGTGCCTGGGGGCTCCCACTGAGGTGGCAGGGAGCTCCTGGCCACCAGCCAGGTGAGCAGCTTGCCCTGCAGAGTCACAGTCAAGGGAAAATTAGCCTTCATCTGAAGAGCACTGGGAGCAGCAATTTCAGGCAAAATTATTGCTTCAGCTTTGCTCGAGCTGAGGAAAATATATTGATGCCTTTCTGTCAGGACGGCGGCTGTTTTTTTCAGTCGGTTCAGCAGGTGATGTGGGCAGGGAAGGCATGGTTAGGACCGAAAAATATGCTGATCTTCAGTAACATGCATTAGACAAACGCTTTCCCATCATAATTTTGTTGGTGTAAACACTTCTACTTTTGTTTCTTAATAAATCTCTCAAAGTTGTGCTTTTAAAATCATTCGTATTAAGCAAGTACTTGACAGGGTGCTGATGCCCATGATGTTTGTATTTGTCTAGCAACTTGCCATTCAGCAGCTGTCTTTTTTATAAGTGAATTCCCTCCAGCAGCTATTATGACCCGAAGGGCAGATCTGGGCATTTTTTGTGTTGTATGATGGGTAGATTTACTTTAATTAATAACACCATTACTTGAAGTGGAACAGCTTTATTGCTATTGAAACCATCTGTTCCCAACTTTCATATTTTAATGATTCATTGTGTGTTGTAGGGAGGGCATGAATTTAATTATCAGTGCATTGCTGTTTAACTTTCCTAATTATTATTTGGAGCCTTGGAATCATTTGAAATGTTTTTACTGATCTCTTTGCATTACTACCGTTTAAAAGCCTGTGGAAATCTTTGAAAATATCCTGTGTCATTAGCTTAAAACGGAAAGTAAACTAATTTGTAGCATGCAGCCCACAGTGCCATGTGTTCTGCTGTCGTCCAAATTTCCCTTTCCCTTGCCTCCCCCTTGTTGTGCTGATATAGTGCCCCTGCTGCTGCCACCGGCCAGGATGGTTCCCCTGTACCTCCTCTGTCGCAGGACAATCATCTCGATGGACTTAAACTGGAAAAGCCAGGAAGAGGAGAGACGACAAGATTTTATCACTCACTAAGTAGCTGAGTTTTTATGATTTCTCTTTTTTATTTTTTTTTCCAGGGAGCCACGAGAGTTTGAAAGGGACTCCAAATGCCTCCCCTGCCACCCAGAGTGCCTGGTGCAGAACTCCACCGCTTACAACGCAACCTGCACTGGACCTGTAAGGGCAGCCTCAGCTTAACAAACCTGTACCTAAGACTGTGCATCCATATGTATTCCCCTCATTGACATAATCCTGAATTCCCTTTTACCCTTCTCCAGGATCAGGCAGAGATGGGGTGAATTAGAGGGCAAGATCTGGGGGTAGGAAGACAAAACCAGGAGAGGGAACTTCAGGATGTATTTCTCTTTGGTGTCCCCTGCCATGTACATAATCCAGACAGCCCTAGAATCACAGGCATTGTAGGGCCTTTCTTTCTTATGTCCTTTTACAGAAAAAAAAAAGTTAGGATTACTTACATATGTGAAGATATGCTAATGTGGTGAACATTTTTGGAACATGTAGTTATTGAACAGCCAAGTTGGCGTGAAAAAAATATTACACATCCTTATTCACAGGAAAAAAATGCTAACATACTGGATTAATACAGTAGCTTTTCTCACTTGAAAAGCCATGATAAAATTGTGATTAAAAATGTTTTCTGGACAATATTCAGGAAACAATTTTTACTTAAAACTGCATTCCTTCCTCTAACTAGGTTAAAGTATATAGCCAATGTTAAAGCAATTGCAGGTGTAAATTAAGATCAAAGAAAGGTAATCAAAACAAAATGATGGGATTTTCATGCTTATAGTTTCCAAATTCTTACAAAAGCTCCTTCTTCAAAAGCCAATATAGTATACTCTTTCCAGGCATCCAGAATCTTCCTCAATTTTGTTCTTTAATTTTTAGAATATTCTCATGTCATGAGATGTCCAGTTTGGCAACTGTGAAAAATTATTTGTTCTTAATCAGATTAAACCCATATCTTAATTGTAAAATTCTCATTCTCATTAATGCATCCACTGTCTCAGTTAGACCTTTTTGCTAATTGAAATCGAATCTCCTGCTTCCATCACAGATCCTACTCTGTGCTCCTTAGTCCAACTCTTTAAAATGCATCATACCATCTCCTGCAGCCACTGAGTGTTCGACCCTTGCCCATCAGTCCAAGGAGTCACTGCTCAGTAACGTGAAGTATTTCCATCCTCCCTTACAGCTTAGACCACCATTGCCTAAAGGATGTTGTTAACATCATAAGCTCCTTCAGGCAGTGACCACCCCTTGTTCCACATTTGCCCAGCGTCTACTAATTAGTCATTGTAGTGGCCCTTAGACATTGCAGTAATTAAAGTAATCTTCACATAACTTGTCTTACTGTAGTCCCACTGAAACCAGCACTGTAGATATGGTATAATTTTTTTGTTTGCTTTCTGTAATAGAATTTGACCCAGAACTGCTGGTTTCCCTGCTCTAAAATATTTACGGTATTCCTGGTGCTGTTACAGTCTGAGTAAAAATAGTTCTGCCAAAAATGGCTAAAGGCAGTGCCTTTAAGCACAAATGAATTGCTATTCGAAGTAGAAAATGCATGGCATCCTTGGGTTGCCTCCATTTCCTGTGCTTCTCGAAAATGGAGGAGGGAAGCTGTGCTGAGAAACCAGGAAAATAATGATTTGGGGCCAGTACTTTAGGAGGGATAAGGAGGCCTAGCTCCATCATTTTAAATCATTCAATATAGTAGATTGCACCAGAAAACAGCCTAGCCCTCTGCTTTTCAACTTATGCCTTGTTGGGGTGTCATTAAATTATTCCTCATTTTAAATGAAAAATGTGAGCTTTCCCATCAGGCAGAGGAAACTCAATGAAGTATTAGCTTTAAACATCAGGTACTGCCTTTTGTACAGTTCATCCTACAAGAGCAAATACTTGTAAGCTTTTAGGTAGCTAGGTAATAAAACCACCAGATGCTAAAAACTTGCTGCCGTCGAATGCATGTAGATTTATCTTTTGCATTTCCTTCTGAATAGACCAATATAAAGGCATCACAAACAAGTTGTTTCTTGGTTTCTCTCCAGGGCCCAGACCATTGCATGAAGTGTGCCCATTTTATAGATGGCCCCCACTGTGTGAAAACCTGCCCTGCAGGAGTGCTGGGTGAAAATGATACCCTCGTCTGGAAGTATGCAGACGCCAACTCTGTTTGCCAGCTCTGCCATCCAAACTGTACACGGGGGTGAGTAAAACCTGGGTCCGAATGGAGAAGAAAAAGTAAAAAGTAAAGGCTCATATCAGGCTCTTTCCCTTCCTGACTTCTCCCCTATTACAAAGCACCAAGAACAAAATATAGCAGGAAGTGAAAGAGGTCAGGCATACACAGGTAAACTACGCAGAGTACAGTGGACTTTGTAAATAGGAAAAGTTCAATGGCACTTCTTCACACAGCTGAAAAAAAAAAAAAAAAAAAGCTTTAGGGGATTTGAGAAAGTTTTGGGTTTTTTGCTTATTTAGATAGGAAACTTTCTGGAATTTTACAGAATCACCCAATAGTAGTGCCCTTTTTTGTTATTTTTCCTATTTTTCCACCTGGCTGGGTACTGGGTCCTCTGTTTTGGGGAGGAACATCAGTGACATCTGGTGGATGCTGAGTTCCTGGGACCCATTTTTCTCAACACCTTTGATTTTTTTGAAGGGAAATCCCTGTGGGATACCACAGTGATTTTCTTTCTTTTTCTCTTTTTCAATATGGTACCAAGTGGTCTGGTTTAAAGCTTTGCTTGCCTCCTGAGTGGCTTTAATCAATGGGCATCACAGTAAACCCAATCTGCACATACCGCTTTTGTCCTCATTTGGGGAATGGTTGAACTGCCCCCTTTAATGACCTGTGAATTCAGCTGTCTTTTACCTATGTGACGGTAAGTGACCAGGCTGCACCCACGTCCTCTGATGGTTTCCAACCTGCAAAGGACACAGGATGCGCAGTAAGGTGTGGGGTTTCAGACTAGGTTATTGCGTTATAATGCTTTCAGAGCAAAAGACAACCCATGTTTGGTGTCTTTTCCTTCACAGACATCTGACCTGTAACCTGCAGTGTCTGTCCAATCAAAAATCCTTCCATAGTATGTGTTGCAAGAGAGAAGTTTTAACATTTGTTCTCCAGCTACAATCAGACCAAACCATCATTCCACTGTATATTTACCTAGCTCAACTGTCTGGTCATGAAAAAATAGAGTGCCTAGGTCCTCACCTTCACGGACCACAGGAGAAGGGCTAAGAGGGCAAGCAACTGGCCTCCCTAATGCTTCTCAGGCTATGACGTAGGGAACTCAGTGCTCTGATTTTCAGATGGCAGCTGCAACAGCAAAGTGTATTTGCCATGATTTACAGCGGTGACCCCTGAGTCTTGTTACAATTGCAGGCAAAGCTCATCGCAGCTTCCCATCACAATATAATAAGAGATTAACTCAGTTGAAAAGGGATCTTAATAGCTTTGATCTTTATTAATGACCTCAATACCTGTGATCATCATTCTCTACCGATACAAACTGGCCACCGTAAGCCAATATCCTTTTTATAACTGGCCACATTTTCATGCAGAAATCCTTCAGAAGAAGGATACTGGATTTCCATGTGGCCAGTTACTGGATCAGCATAACCAGTAACCACATCTGAACAAGTCTTTCAACTGGGTGGCCTTGGTAGCAGGATCAAATGCTAGACTTTAATGAATACAAACTCAGGGAAAATAATCTGCCAGACGGGAATGTAACTTGCAGTTGCATTTTGTGCACAAACAAGTCCCCAGAGCAGAGCTCATCAATTCCTACTTGGCTTTAGCAGCCAAGAATGTACCACAGGAGTCAAAAAAAAAAAAAAGTAGTATCTATTTTATCATTTACATGCACGAGCTGGGCTAAATTTGCCACAGTTACATGGTGGACATGCTCAAGTTGCTGCCCGAATGTGGCAGAAGAAATAGGCTGTACCTCTGATGGGCTTAAGAGAGCTGGAGGAACGTATTGTTGCTATTTTTGTTTTACAGATGGGACTTCTGAGACCAAGGGCATTGATGGGTAGGGAGCCAGTGGCAGAGGCACCATGTGGGAACGTGCAGCCCAGCACAGCATTTTCCCCATGAAGGCAATCAATCAGTAATGCCACTTAGTCATCTTCACGCCTTTCCCTCCTTGTGCTGCGGGAATGTGATCTGTTCAGCAGTGGGTGGAAAACATCTGTCTCACAAAGTTTTTGCGTCTTTAAAAAACACAGTCTCAGCGATTTCTGTATGACAAGAAACAACTTCTTTATTTCTGTCCCTGTCCAATGTCATGTACAGAGGCACAGAATTTTATTACATGTGTTGAGTTCAGTATTCATACAAGTTCAGTTTTCCAGGATCTGGCTCTAATTTCTGTATCCAAAGAAGCTGCAAGTAAACAGGACCTCTCTCCCCAGCTGAGCTTTGTCTCAAATTTGGGTTTTAACTTTTGTAGTACTTGCAGTGCATCACCTCCTTTATATTGCTGTGACAAATCTCATCTAGCCTAACTTTCTTTGCTGAGTTGCTTGTTTGGCTTTCATTAGAAAACAGAAGGGAGGTAGCTTTCTCCTGTTCAGCCCAAAAGACTTCTACCCCATTTCCCCTATAACTGCTTGGGGATTTTTTACACCAGCTTCTTTCTGCTCTGCTTGTAGTGCAGCTGAGAAAATATGCTCCATTAAAGACAGAAATGTCCCAAAAGTCCTGAAATTACCCAGTTCATACCTCCAGCAACTAATGAAGCACACCAGCTTGATTATTCTGCTCCATGTTGAGAGATCTGTTTTTCCCTTGCGACTCTCCCAGAATATAAGAATTAAATTCAGCCACAGCCAGTGGGGTGGAAGAACAAGAAAGAGAGGTGCCACAACCATAGTTAATAGTACTGGCTGAAGGGTCCAGCCTCCAGAGTCACTACCAACATTACGTCTTACTGTTCTTCTTGTTAATGCCCCATGGGAATTTAGAGGTGGGTGAGAAGGTGGACAGGGGTGTGAGAGAGAAGCTTGCAGCAGCACAGCACACATTCTATGCCTTTGTCATGATCTGAAGGTTAATCAGAAAGAACAGGCAGAAGAAAGTTCTTGTAAGGCTTTGAAAAACCCAGTGGTTTTCCATTTCTTTTATGACTGTGAAGTAACTGAGGACTTGTGCTGTTAAAGCGTGAGTCCCCTCTGAAAGGCCATAAATCATAGCAACGTGGCTGTATTACATCAAATTAGGAACTATAGGTCGAGGAGAAAGTTGTTAAAATCTTGATGGATTTGGGAAATAAATAGCTGTGTCTGCACTGGGACAAGTAATATTTATGTAGACAGATGAAATGCTGAGTTCAGGATGTAATAGTTTCAGGGACTGTACACAGCACTAATTTTCCAATAAGTAGAGAAATATTTCAGAGACTACAACTGCTGCTAGATTCCATCCAATACATCCATAAGATCTTGAGGCAGTTTATAACACAAGGTCACATTTCTCATTTTAGTTTCTGTAAGCAGAAGAAAAATGATTCAAGGATGGAAAAAGTGATTGTTTAGATTCCATAAAACCTGGGTTACTTATGTTGGGTGTCATCATAAAATTCCACATTAAAAAAGATGGCTATATTTAGTCTTGGATGGATATTTGTCATAGGCTTTGTTTCTTCTTTGACTTGTGAAATGAATCAGAAAATCACATGGGATTTGAAAAGCACAAGCTGATCCATCATTTTCTTCCCGAATACCTTTTAACTTTATCCCACTAGACTTGGTACTGATGGATTTGTGTGGGAAATAATTTTTAAAAAAGAAAGGGTACAGATGAAAATCTACACCTCTCCTCCTCCCACTTTCTGGTCTAGGAAAATAACTGGTCAGTCATTCCTCAGACTGTGGATAGTATCCCCTCAGACAACTTTTTTTGCTGTTATGAAGTTCATGGAGGTTGTGCAATCATAAAGTGTCATCAAAAAACAGAATTTTAGAAATAGTTAATCTGAGGGAACCCAGTCACATTCTGGAATAATGTATTTTTAATTTCATGTCCATTATCAGGAGAAGTTGTATATGATTTGTTGCATTAACATAGAGAAATTCCTATGCATGTGATTGATATAGTGTGGTAGGATGAGGTCTTGGGTCCTAGATCAGTTTTCTTTCAGGCGCCCAAAGAAAGGAGCCTGGTGCAAAGTGAGATATGTTTCCTTTGACCATAGGGAAGCTGGTGGTTCTGCTCTGCATGTGCAGCCTCATTGTGCTTAGTTACACAACCAAGCAAACAAAACAAACTGTAGGCAGACAGAGAATGCTAACAGAGCTGGGTGCCCAGAATCCGGGAACCAGTGTGCACAGTACTTCCAGCATGTCCAGGACACCAGGATGCACATTCTTGCATGGGAGCCCAGTGAACTCACAAGACCTTCCAGATGCTGGGCCTTGGAGCACTGTGTTGGCCCTGAAACAAGGCAAATACACGGGGGAAGATCAGAGTAATGAAACCAAACAAATAAACAAAAACGCAATAAAATGAGTGGTTGCTTCCCCTCTTCCTCCTCCAGACCTACGATCAAGCTGTGAGATAAAATCTTCAGCCCCACCTGCCATCTTGAAATTTTTCTGTTTCTTCCTCCCAGCAAGAGGGAACTCAGAGCACTTTTCCTGGCATGGGTTCACTCCTTACCCCCTGCTTGACCTCCTCTGGCGTTGCTTTGGGATGATGCACCTTCTTCGAGTCAGCACAGGGAGCGGATACCACAAACTGGACTTTTCTCTTTGCTGTGCTCTGTTTTTCAGTGGTGATGTAATCCCCTCTGTAATGCTCTCCTTCCTTGGTAGGCACCACAAAGACCACAATTCCCATAAAGAGCATACATCTTGTAGCCCAGCAGCACTTAGGAAATGCATGGTGCTTCTCATGCCCACTAGACCATCAAGTGAATGTGTTTTCATCTGTGCTGTTTTTTGCATCGGGCTGCCAAAATTAATTTGGAGCATTTTAAATGGAGGGAGAATGACTTGCTAGTAGAGTTTCTGTCTCTCTGGGTAACTGTCATACCTGTTTACATTGCCAGTGGCATGAGATCTTCGATTGTGAAAGAAAAATACAACAGACACATGAGAAAACACTTTAGCCAAAGCAAGGATTGTGAAATGCTGTTTTCTGCTGGGACCATGTATCTGCTACTGACGTTTTCCTTTGCAATAGGAAGTCTGGAAATTGTAATCTTTCGCTTCTCAGGAAACATGGATTATGCAGGAGGATCTGTAGCAGTGTGTTTCCATATAGCTTTCTGCCCTTGGATAGGGGAGAGGCTGCTCCTGTCTTCCTCCACAGTCAGCCCTGAGCTTCTATGCTAATACAAATGTCCACACAGAGCCAGTGTACTGGCTGATTGCATGCTGGCCACCCCACAGCTGCCTCTGTGGCCAGATATTTTGTGCAGCCTCAGTTTGAGCTGCATGGATAGGACGGCACATGTAGGAAGCACAGATGTATTTTCATAGATTCAGAGACTCTAGGTCCATTTTTATTCTGTGTATCTATGTCCTCTCTCCATTCTAACACATCACAGAATGCTGTTTTAAAATACTCTTTATAATGAGTCCATAGCAGAACTATGCCTCTGTGTAAAAGCTTCTGGAGCAAGGCAGTTGACTGATATTTAATACAGTGCATGATCATTATGAATACCTTGAACTGCTCTGAAACACAAAGTTTTCATCAGTAGCACTCTTAGTTGGAGTTATAGCAGTAGGTATGCCAGAGCTAATATGTTTGTAACATTCATTTGTTTTTACAGGTGCAAAGGACCAGGTCTTGAAGGCTGTCCAAATGGGTGAGTATTTCATCTGATACAATTAATGACAGAGCTGGAAAGAATGCATGTGTGTTTACATTTCTGTGCTGGACACTGCAACACTGGGACTAACATTCTGTAAAGAATATGTAGGGAGATATGTAGGGAGAAGTGACAGATTAGGGCAGGCTCAGATCTATAAAAATGACTAAATAATTGAGAAATTTCCTACTAGCATGAGACTCCAAAACCTTGTTCTGCTTAGCTTGTCAAAAAGAAGGTCAAGGTGAGACCTGGGTTCTGTTACTTGAGAACAAAAGGAGGAGCTGGAAAACGAAAGAATAATGATCTAGAGGTGGAAAGAGATATGTTTAGGATTGATATGGTTACCTGCATTACAGGGAATTAATTGCAGGCCCCTAGGGGCTTTTCCAGCCCAGCAATTTCTGTATCTCCAACCTCTCAATGCATAGATGGGCATTCATTCTTCACACAAGATCTTATTTTGCATTGTTTGGCCTCATGGTTTGCTCAAGAACATGCAACAAGTCAGCATGTTTCTCTGACTAAGAGGGATTTAGTTTCTAGCCACTAAGACTATGGAAAGACAAATTCAGCCTAGAAGAACTGTAAAAAAGTGACTTTATTTAATAGTAACGCCTGGGGCAGCTTATAAAGAGCTGTGATGGATCTCCAAGTACAGTCCAAAAGACAACCTTGGAAAACAGGTTTTTCTTTTCAATTTAAGTTTGAAACCAACCAGACCAATAAACAGGCAGGAATCAGTACACACAGACAGTTCACACATTACCCAGCCTTAGACATTTTGTACTGGGGGAGAAGGGCCAGTGATTTCAAGAACATCGTAAACCACGCATCCTGTCGTAATGGTGAGCTGTCAGCAGCTTCATTGCCAGTATCCCAACTGTGTATTCCTTCTTCATATCACCTTCTCTTTGTGTGTACAAAGTTGTCGATACGTCATCTATATGGAGAGCCTTTTCTCCATAATTTTCAAAGAGAAACAAAAGTGCCTTGATATATTAAGCGGGGGCCTTGCAAATCTGGAACAAAAGTACAAACCCAGCAAAACAAATGTCACAGAAATGATAAATGCAGAAGGCTGTGCAGAAATGACATGCAGAAGGAGGAGGAGGTGGCGGAGCAGTGGAGGAGAAAGCTGCACTGCCAAGCACAGTAAAAGTCCGGATGGTCTCATCTCAGCTCAGTTGTTTTGATTTTTCAGTTTTCCTTGAAGAAGAAAACAATAAACACAACCACTGGGGTGAGGAACTTAAAAATATTGAGACTCAAGAGACGTGAAATATCAAATAGGTTTAAGGAGGTGTGCAGACAATATGTTTGGTCAAAACCTGAGGCTACATGCAGCCCCTCTAGGTTTATTGTGTTTTTTTTTGTTTTGTTTTGTTTTTTAATCATACACCTAAGCATTTGTTTTTTTCTCTTTCCACATCCCGTATTGTGTTGCAGCTCCAAAATCCCATCCATCGCAGCCGGCGTTGTCGGAGGGCTCCTCTGCCTGGTTGTAGTTGGCTTGGGCATCGGCCTGTACTTGCGGCGGCGCCACATCGTGAGGAAGCGGACCCTGCGCAGGCTGCTGCAGGAGAGGGAGGTGAGTGCCACAGTTGCATCTCAGAGCCGGCTGCTTTATTGGGGCAGTGGGTCCTGACCTCCTCAAACAAGAGGATTAAAGCACCACAGATCTGCTTTGTAACTGAAAAAGCTCTTGGCTTGACTAACACGGTGTCTGCCACACTTGTTGGAAAAGAGGCAGCATGCACTTAACACTTTCTCACTTAATCTCGAGTCTGATCCCTGTGGATATAATTTTCCAAAGCTTTAGGGGATTTAGATGCCTAAATCCCAGTGACAATCACTGAGATTGGGGAAAAGACTAAGCCTTAGGGTGAGGTGTAATGTGTTTGCTGATCCATGCTACGTTGCCACCTAGACCCTTAGCACTGAAACCTTTCTCCCTCCAGACAAGCCTAGTAGCAAATTGGATACTGTTGGAAATTTTACCCCCTTGATCAGATGTAAGTCTGATCCTCATAAGAAAAATGAGAAAGGAGAGCAGGGAAAGGGATGGAGGAAGTGTTTGTGTCTGGTCTTTTTTTTTTTTTTAACGCACAAAAAATACTAAGACATCAAAGTGAGTGGTTTACCCTGTTGGGCATGAGTGAGGTTTCTACAGTGCTTTGTTTTTTGCACGGTGTAGGTTTCATGTGCATTACAACATTACCCTCTGGGTTCCTCACATATGAAATTACAAAATTCATTATCCTCAATTTAAAGATGTTCTTTCACGATTAGTCTCCTTCTCTTGCCAGTCTGATCTTGGTAAATAAGTAGCAAATTGTATTTGGTATTCTGCTAAAAGTACAATTGCAGCTTCCTTCTGTGCTCCCTGGCTTTGCAGAGTAAACTGCTAAAATCCTTACAGCTGTCCTGCTTTCCAGTATGCTGCCTAATAATATTTTACTTACCGCTCTATTCTACAGTTTTAATAACAGAGTTCAGTTTGTGCTTACCTTGTATTTTAGCCTCTGGACTCCAGAAAATTAGGATATTTCATCACAACAGAAAGGTCACTGGTCCACTAAAACGATTGTATCTACCTAAATATAGTTTTATTCAAAGGAAAGGAAAAAGGAAATCACTAAAGGGAAAAGGCTAACATATTTTAAAAAAAAAAAAAGAGAGTGTTAAATATCTCTGTTTGGAGGGCATTACTTCTGTTTGCAATAAGGCTTAGATCAAATTTTAAAAACATCAACAGTCAATTCAACATTGCCTTTTGCATTGATGAAAGAATTGTGCTCACAGTTTAAGTTGCTGTTTGTAAACCTGGTGCTGTGGTCTGGGAGAGCCACCTCCAGTACCATGGGAATTTCATCTAATTAAACAAGATTAAACCTGAAAGGTTACAGGTGATTCTTGCACATTATTTAAAACATTTTTATAATTTATTTGCAAGTTCAAAAAATTAATCTTATTTAAGATCTGTGGTAATTGCACTGTTCTTCATGCCATGTGTTTTAAGTCTTTGATGTCTAAATCTTCATTTGAACACTAGTATTCCTTCATTTTCCTTCAAAATGGCAGTTGCCATACTGTGCAATTTCATGGGACAGAAGTGGTTCCATGGATCTTAGTTTTGGTTGATTTTACCTCTGAAATTTGAAGCAACTCCAGATATTTATTGCTGTAAGTCAGAGTGGAGCTAGCCTCACATAAACTTCACGTGGAATAAAATGTTCATTATTTTAAATTAAGGATTTATTTCCCCCCCAACAAAGTTTGCTGCTTGCTGTCCTCCCAGCCTGTATGTCCTTCTAAAGCCTTGTTTTTCTGTATGCACCAGCTTGTTGAACCACTGACACCCAGTGGGGAGGCACCAAACCAGGCCCATCTGAGAATTTTAAAGGAAACAGAATTTAAAAAGGTCAAAGTTTTAGGCTCCGGAGCTTTTGGCACTGTTTATAAGGTAAGATTATGATGTTTCTCCTTCCCTCTTTGTCTTGTTCCCACATGCAAAAGTCACCCAAAAAAGCATGAACTGGGAGCTAAAAGGTCTATTTCTGAAGCAGACTTCCATCTGTGGCTGAGACCTTTGGGGTACAAACCACACTGACGTTTGAAAACAGGCACCTACATCACTAGGTGCTGCAGCAGAGCTTCCTCACAGCTCCACATGGTTCACCTCCCAGCTAAATGACCTCCTGACACTACAGATGTAGAGCGCTGAACCAGTTAGACAAAAACCTAGCTGTCACTGTGTATGTTTAGGGCTGGATTATTTGTACAGGATAGGTGCCATCTTGTTGCATAAGAGAACATCCCAATTCATTTCATCCCATGATTTATAAATTGGAATTGGCAAGATTTTGCATATGCAGTTGCCATGATGTGCTAATTAATTAGACTCCTATCCATGTAAGTTGCTCTTCATGCATGTCTCACTCTATTTATACAGGTAATGAATGCATCTTTTTTTCAAAGAAGTATGGTAGAGGTGACAGAAAGCAAAATACCATTCCATTGACAGGATTCTCTTAACACCAACATGACACAATGATTTTTACATGTTGCTTGCCAAATTTTTGTTGTTTGCCATTGCTCCAAATATTTATGTCTTCTCAGAAGATGTAAAATGTATATGTAATTGTGAAAATTAACCTGTTAGATATGAGACTGAGTAATTCTTTGTGCTTTTTTTTGATAGGGACTTTGGATCCCAGAAGGGGAAAAGGTTAAAATACCTGTTGCTATTAAAGAGTTGAGAGAGGCTACATCACCAAAAGCCAACAAGGAAATACTTGATGTAAGTTTTCATGTTTGTTTTGCCAAGGTGACAGTGGTCTGTGGATTTTCCTCTATAACAGCTAAAGGGATTTCAGGACTTTGGGTGGCAAGAAATATTTAACATCCCAAACTGAATTCTTCATATAGAACTACTATGCTGATTTGCACCCATAATTCAATTGCCTGGCAAATGTTTTTGTGTCTTCCGTGAAGGCCTTGCTTGCAGTTGATCACTGATGTTAAACTCATGGGATAGGAACTGGCACATAAGGGGAGGGCAGAACCATACAAAACACACATTTACAGCTAAACCCATTTTCTTTATTCTCATGTCTCTGGCCTTAAATTTTGCCATTCATTGTCATTATGACAGTACAAATAAGAACATTAAAAACATGTCTGACATTGCAGATTGTCATAAGCTAGTTGCTCAGTTACATAGTATTAAAGTTATATAGTATTAAATTAAACATAAATCCACTTGAAAGTGATGGCACCATTAAATTAAACACAGGAATCCTTCTGCCATGGGCAAGTCTGTGTGGATTTTTTTTCTTTTTGGTTAGGAAGTTAACCACTTTAACAGGAAAATTATTTTTAAAATAAATAAATAAAAATCCAGCTTTGGACAGCAAATGGCAACTCAGATAGAAAGGCTTGTCTCAGGTGGTTCAAGCTGGGGAAGATGTTAACAAGCATAGAGCAGAAAGCGTCAGTATGATCAACTGTGAACAAACCCCTACCTGTGCTACTGATGATAATGAAACACACCGGGATTTTCTGATCACCTTGAATAAACAGCATTACTCCAACGTGTTATTCTACTTTAACAGATTGTGTATTGCAGCAGAATAGATGGTCCAAGACATGAAGCAATATCAATCCTGATTTTAGTTAATGATGGGCCATGTGGTGCATGTTTACAAACACCCTTTGCCCCGAGACAAGTGTCACCCTTCACTGGGTCGCAAACCCGCATGGTCTCCCTGGTCACTGCTCCAGCACAACCTTTCATTCCACTCTTCACAGTGATAAGGAGCATAGAACAGTCTTCACAAAGGATGCTCTGCACTGAACTGCATTAAATCCCAGTTTACTGGAGGAGGGGCTAATTAATAACCCTACGGTACTGCATCCTGCCTTCAGCAGAGCAAGATATCCTGATGACAGGACACTAGATGCATGGACTGCGTGCTCTGCAGCGATATCAAAGCACTTAATTTCTGTATAGCATCCCCACATTATCTTTTCTCTTCCATTGAATTAGGTTGCTTAACAAAAAGCTCTTGCGTTTTCAGTCCTGTTCATTTTTTAGATGATATGGTTGGTAGAATTCATTCTGTATTTCAGGGAAAATAATAAAAAAAAAATACAGGTGAAAGAAGTCAGAGGGATGACTCCAAAAGCTCCTCTCCTTTTGCTACACATCCAGCTTTTTAAGGTTACTGAAACCTCAGAGATAATAATGTCCAATTAAAGGTGATTCCTCTTACAGAAACACGCTAGGCATTGAACAAGCACAGCAGCTTTAGTTCGTATTATCCAGGCGAGCGCTTGCTGACTTTATTAGGGTAGGGCTAATTCAGAAGATTGTTGTTGAATACCAAGCATACTTGGAGCAGGTCAGAGCGTACAGCAGAGATTTCCAAGATAAACAGTTGAAACAAAGGCCCACTTTAATGTCTTAGGCTACTAAGAGGGACCCTGGACGGACAATAGCTCCCTTCTGCTCCCTGAGAGGGGGCGGTGGCCTGTTTCACTTTGAGATACCAAAAGCAATAGGCAGCGTCAGCACCTGGAAGCTCTCCAAAAGCTGTGTGGCCGTACACCCACCCTGCACCTTCAGCTTCCCCGTTCTTAGCCTCCAGGTCAGCCCCGTAAGGGCTGCACAGCAGATGGGCAGGGAGAAGAACAGCTCTGAGTCTGCAGATTTTTTTTTTTTATATATTTTTTTTTTTGCCCCTGCTGAAATTAATACAATATGGGTCTGAATCCCAAAAGGAAACAGCGCAAAGAACAGACGCCCTTCATCGGTACAACTGCTGGGTTTTGAAACCTAGTAAGATTAGTGTATTTTTGTCTCTGCTTCCATCAGAGCATCGCACAGCAGATTCACAAGATTCTCTAAAAAATGCTGCTGTAAATATCTACGTAGGTTAAGAGTGCATCGTATTCTTCTTTTATCTTTCCTTGGGCTATCCTACAGAATCACCGCTCTCCTTGACAAAAGATTGTTTTTCAATAACCTCATATTCTGCAGGAGGTTGGGGATCCCTTATCCAGTTCTGATGGAGATCGTTTTTAATCTGGCTGCCTGGAGGCCACTCTCATCCCACAGGCTCTGAAACAAAGAAACCAAATGCAGTATTAGCACCTCAGAAGAAACTGCATTACATCATGTTTTGCTTAGGCTGGCACGTCAAGTAACAATTCCAGGGCCAGAACATATTGCTTAAGAATTGGGGTTGTTTATTTCTTGAACGTCATTGCTGTAATATCTTTGTTTAATAATAGTTCTTACCAGCTATACAGCTATGTGACATCTGTGGAAAACTTGTTAGATGATGACTTTAGTGTTATGGTATTTCATTTCTTAAGCTCTTAGAAAGTGTAGATTTGCTTCTTTCCCTGCCTCAACAGTACCTTGACTATTATTTTAGGCTTTAGTGGGCTGCTAATCTAATGCTCAATTGCCAAGGGATGATTAGTTGGTGTCACTCCAGATGCTGAGTTATGATGCTGAACAAAAGTTAGATGCACGAAAAATTTCCCATTTATTTCCCATTGTGTCAGTTTTCAATCAAAGGGATTTAAAGTGTCTAAAACTAAAATAATGTAAATTGGACACAAAGTAGTAAAAACAAACAAACAAACAAAAACTTCAGCTCTATTTTTTTCCCTGTTGGAATTCATTCTTTCAACTTGACAGAGGACATCAATACAAATATAAATATCAAATTTAAATCTATAAGTAATTTTTGCATGCAGAACCCATGAAGTGTGGGGCTTTAATGTGACCCTGTTACACTGCACCAGCCTATGAAGAGAGAGGCACCAACCTCTTAACTGCAAAAAGAGCAAAGAGGAGGTACTTGAGTACCTTTCACAGGTACCTAAAGCTACATAGGATGAACCCAGGCTTGAAAGAAGAGTTTTTTCACACATTTATGAAGCTCAAACTCCAAATTCCAGTAGACCAAAGGCTATGTTATAGGTTTTTTATGAAATTTATAAATACCTTCTTGATATCACATTGCTATATGTGTCTAAAATATTTTTTTTTCCAGTTGGGGACAATATTTTCACCAGTGTTGCTTAAAGTAAGATGTATTCAGGTTTCTAAAGAGGTGACCTGCTTATTAACTTGTTTGGTTTGACATGGACTAAAGAAAAACATGGACAAAAAGGTCTTGTTTCTTAAAAAGTGAAGCTGTCAGTCCCATCCTAGCTGACAACTTTTGACTTTCTGGGTTAGTACTAGCCTTGAAGTGCAGAAGTCTCCAAACTGCTGGTTTCCAGTCAGATTTGTGAAAATATTTGTGGAGGGAAAAAGCCATATGACACATTCACAGCTTTTGTTGCTCTTGCAGTTAGATGTTTAAAATCACAGAATCATGGAATCATTAAGGTTGGAAAAGACCTCCAAGGTTATCTGGTCCAACCATCCCCCTACCACCAATGTCACCCACTAAACCATGCCCCTAAGCACCATGTCCAGCCTTTCCTTGAACACCCCCAGGGACAGTGACTCCACCACCTCCCTGGGCAATCCGTTCACATAACCAATCTTTCTAAGAAAAAATGTCTCCTAATTTCCAACCTGAACCTCCCCTGGCATAACTTGAGGCTATTCCCTCTAGTCCTATCCCTAGTTATCTGCAAGAAGAGGCCGACCCCCAGCTCCCCTGAGCCTCCTCTTCTCCAGGCTAAATGCCAGTTCCCTGAACTTCCATCAGGTTCCAGCTGGTGACTGATTTTTTAATTCTTCTTAGGTCTGTGAACTTTGTCCCCAGGACTTGATGCCCAGTGTTTGCTTGGTGTACCGGTAGCAGGAGACTGTCTCTTCTCCTGCATCTCAGTGATGATCCAAGTGTTCAAAATCTAGACCTTACACTGCATGGAAAACACTTGGTCCACAGAGTCGGAAACAATACTTTTGTATCTGATAGGCAGCATGTAGTTTGCATGTAGTATTTTAGCAACCTCTTGAACAACAAACTTGTTTTATACTGCCTCTAAATATTTCTGTCACGCAGAAGGGAGTGTTTCACATCACTTTCTTCCATTCTTTCTTCTCAGGAAGCTTATGTGATGGCTAGTGTTGACAATCCTCATGTGTGCCGCCTGCTGGGAATCTGCCTGACTTCCACCGTGCAACTGATCACCCAGCTTATGCCTTACGGCTGCCTCCTCGATTACATCCGAGAGCACAAAGACAACATCGGCTCCCAGTACCTTCTCAACTGGTGTGTGCAAATTGCCAAGGTAAGCTGACCAGCACACCTCCAGGGGCAGCTAGGACTCAGACTGCAGCCTGGTGATCTGGCAACGTGTCGTGTTTGTTCCCTTACCTGTCCATGTAAGTCTCCATATTCCACCACACCCCATGGTTCCTAGAAACCTTATGGACAACATTAAGCTCTTGCTTTGTTTTCGGCAATCTAAAATCTTTGAGCTGCTGTGCAAACCTCATCATCTCTTCAAATTGCTCCCAGGCAGTGTAATATTGTCACCAGTGCATTTATGTCCAAACCAAACACCCAGTAATGAAATGATGGTGATGCAATGAAGCTGTGGCAGAGAAGGGAATAGAATTTGGCAATTCTGAAACCAAAATGCTGCCTCAGTTACTGGATTTCTTTGGCCTGTGCCACAGGGCAAACACTGATGTTAAATATGACACTGAGAATTACTCTGATTTTTCAGGCTGTAAGCTCTGTGGTCTGGGGATCGAAACTGCTGATTAATAAATACCAGCTCAGCCGTAGTGTAGGCTGTGTGTGACCAAAAGACATTCAGGCACGCCAAGTCTGCTCTGCAATTTATATGCACTGAGTTGGTGCATGTAATCTGATTGCTAGGGCCGTGTTACCAAATAAAAGCATCATTATCACACCCAGCAATGGCTGCCTGCTTGTGCTAAACTCAGCAACAGAGCCAAAGAGAGGTGTAACGAAGGAGACAGAAGTACAGCCTCTAGCCTTTAGCGGCAAGATGCTGCGTTTAGAAGATTGTTAGGTTAGGAAGAATGGAGAAAAAACAATAGCTGCAGTTTGTATGACATTTGTTGTACGTGAGCACTGTTTGCTAAGCCCAAGTGCTCTACTGCTGCTTATTTCAGTAACTCCGGTCCTGAAGTTAACCACACACTTACAGCCTTATCGGTCCCTTGAGACCTTGTATACATCTCAGGCTCTCCTGGCTGTGGTTTGCTTTCAGGAAACATGCTGAGGACCTCAGAAGCATATCCACCAAAAGTATACAGAGCACATTTTTCATCTCGGTGTGTGTACTTCTTACAGCACATTCCTCAGCAAATGAATTTTAATTTATGCATCCACCCGGGATGTGAACTGCTGTTATTCTGACTATTTTGCTCTCTCATTTGAAATCAATTACTGCACTGTTTAGGTCTCACTCGCTTTGTAGGATGAGCTGGAGGCCACATTTTCCTCCTTTTTCTCCTCCTCCTCATTGCTTTTTAAGGTGGCAAAATCAGTCCCCAAATCAATCCTCAGGGCATCACGTTTGTTGTGCACTTGCCCGAAATGTTGCCATTCACAATTGTTAGCTTCTGTTTGATTTTTTTTCACGTCAGTTCAATGTTCACCCATAGCAACCTCCACCCTCTCCAGTGCTGCTTGACCTTCAGCACGCTCCTTTGTGTCGCTCTGTACTGAAGTTCTCCTCAAAGCCCTCATAAATCTCATGCATGGCTTTTTCCCACCAATGAGTCTGGTGTTACTAATCTGATAAAGTCAAGCCTGATATTTTGACTTTCTCTGACTCTTTAAAATGTACTTTTTTGGGAAGGAGAAAAATTGTAGCAAGTATATTTGTGTCTGGAAACTACCCAGCAGGGAGGCAAGTCCACTGTGAAGCTTTTTGTTTCTGTTTTCACAGCTTTGAAATAATTTCTCTTTGTATTTTTTGCAAACATCATCTTTCACTGAGGTACACAGCCATGTCATTCAGACAAAATGTTATGACAGAGTATATACACACCATGTGTAAAAACACTGTGAAGTAACTGAACACATTAGTCTCATCCTTAATGATGAAAATAGCTTGAATCCCAGGCCTGCACAAAATTATAGATCTGCTGCACTTTCTGCATGAGCAGTTCAACGTCTCCGGTGTATGGTTATCCATGTGTACAAGTCTTTTGGCTATCAGCATCTTAAATAGCTGAGTGCAAAACTGATATTCTGCTTTTCAGCAGCTTTGAGTCCTAATAAGTCTCTGCAGAAATACATGTTTAGCAGGAATTTTTTTGCTCTACTGGGGCAAGATTATGTGATCTTTTTTTTAAGATAGTCTGTTTTATGTCGGCAGCTCAAGATTTTTTTGTTTCAAGAGCTCTGCTCATTAAGGATATATTTGTATAATTAAATGCATACTCTTGGTGGCATTGTGCCAGTTTGTTTGGGTGGTTTGTTTTGGCAACATGAGCAGCTCTTAGCGCAGGGGTGAAGTTCTGCTGAGAAAATGCAGTGGAGGATTCGCTGGTGGTCCAGGTTAACAGTGGGCTTAGGAAGAGGGTGGAGGCTGGAAAGGAATTACTCCCTCCAGTGCTCTGTCATCACATCACAGTGATCGTTTTGGTGTTAATTTTGTAGGCGAGAAGCACTTTTTATTAATTCTCGCTTCATAAAAATACAAGCACATAAGCTACTGCCAGCAGAAATATATCGACTGGGAATAATTGTGGTTTTTAGAAAGGATCTTGCAGGAAACTTAGAAATTGTGAACTTTTGATTCCATACACCAAGAGATTGGAGTTGAGGGAACAGAGAATAATCCCTGTGGTCAGAGAGGCAGATGTTAGATTCATGCCTTAAAAGTCAAAACAGCACAATTAGCCATTTTATCTTCTGAGAGATCTGCAGTCACTCCAGAGAAAAGTCTATTCTTCCTCAAGAGAAGTTGTACCAAAACAGCACGTATACTATGGTGAATGCTGTCTAATCATGGGAGGCAGTGAAACTGGAAGAACTTGCCTTTTCAAAGACAACTTGAAAATAGATGCAACTCTGAGCTCAGCCATAAAAATAATTTTATTTTATTTTTTTTACCCTTTTCCTTTTATCACCTTTCCAGCATATGCTTATTTGTTAGCATTGAGAAGGCAGAGTACATGGTAATGAGGCACAGAACTGGTAATATTGAATGATTAATTTATTTTTACTTGCATTCCTCTCAGGCCATTTGCATCTAAGTGCTCCCAATGAGGTTGGCCTGTGTGCACAGGGCAGATGAGAGTTATTGTCTGTACTACGCTATCCTGGGGTCACCAAGGTTGCACAAGCACAGCTGAAAAATGGGTTTGCCCACTCATTTGGCAGCGCTATCCTGATTTTGTGTCTTGAACTAAATTCTAGAAGAACCCCTGCTATACCCGCTGCCATCCTTTTTTTCTCTATGACTCTGCTGGAATATGGACCCATAAAAATGTTACTATAGGGCAGGACCACAGCCACCACCTTCTCCATCTAACTGCAAATGCATGCCCTCACCCTAACAATCAGAATCACGTAATTCAAAACAGCAAATCTTTTTCTGAACAAGGGGTAGGTTAACGTGTGTACATGGTGGTGTGCATACAGTTACCACTGAGCAGCTGAAGTTTGGCAACTTGATTGTGCCTCAGAGCCCAAAGTGTGTATGTGGGATGCCAACCTCTGGTCTGTTGTATTGCAGGGAATGAACTATTTGGAGGAACGTCGCCTAGTGCATCGTGACCTTGCTGCCAGAAACGTCCTTGTTAAGACTCCTCAGCATGTGAAAATCACGGACTTTGGGCTGGCAAAGCTGCTTGGTGCCGACGAGAAGGAGTATCATGCAGAGGGAGGCAAGGTAAAACGCACCAGAGTATGGATGAACTGCTGCGTGTTCGTTGGTGTTTGTGCTTGTGCATGAGTCTTTCTGTTAAAAACAGGAAAAAAAGAGAGTGGGCTTTTCAAAGGGCTCAGCTGCAATCTCAGCTTGCTGCCTTTGAAGACTGTGGGAGTCCGCTGAGCACAGCCAGAGCAGCGTCAGGCCAGTGTGACTGCAGTGGGAGCAGAGGTAGCAGAGCAACAAATGCTTTTGAAATTCCCACCCAGAATGTCTGGGAAAAACCAAGGTTATTTAAAAAAACATTGAAAAAAGAAGCCTGTCTGAATTCATCATGTAGCCAACACCAATAACACTGTACAGTTTATGAAGAGAAAGGGAACGCTGTATATTTATAGCAGAAGAAAGACCTGTCAGACTTGGTTCAACACGCCTTCAATGTTGTACTACGTGCTGATGGAGGGAATGTATCCTGCTGAGAAATTAAAGAGAAGCTGCTTGCAAATATTGCAGAGACCATAAATGGAAACCATATGAGCACAGATCCGTCTTTGTCATAAACCTTAGACTGGATTTCTTACAATAGGAGAAGGATAAAAAAATATAAATTGGACTGTTAAAAATATTGTAAAGATTTCTAATTAACTTAAAACTCCACAATTTCCAGGTTCAACATAATAAATTAGAATAATAATAAGGGACTCAGAAGTTGCCTGCTTTGCCTCTCAGCTGGTTGTGTTCTTTTTGTTTTTTATTTTCCTTTCTTCAACCAAACTATTGGCTTAAACACCACCTGGTGGTAAATATTGCTGATAAAATTTCGATCTGTCTTACGGCTTGTTTTCCTAGGTTCCTATTAAATGGATGGCCTTGGAGTCAATTTTACACCGGATTTACACTCATCAAAGTGATGTCTGGAGTTATGGTGAGTCTAAAAACAGAATTATTGTGGATGTTCTGGAACAATTGCAGTGACTATGCAGCATCCTTTATTCTTTTTGTTATCTTAAGATTTAGAGTTTAAACCTAAATCATGGGCCAAAATCACCTATTCAACAAAGTAAAATTCACACAAAACTGAGTGGTGGTGAGGTGTAAGGTGTCTTACAGAATATGCTTTCACATGATGAGCTCTTCCCTGACCGAAGCTGCAGGTAGGAGACTGCACTCCATGCGGTCATCTTCTGCTGAGGCTTTTCTTCAGCATCTTCATGTGGAATAGAACTGGACAGACAATAAAGCAGAATAATGAATAGGCAGACTTAAAACTATTGGCCACACCATCAGGTAGTGTCAATTGGTGTAACTCCGCCGTTTTCTGCCATCACTATTTCAGGTGATAGCAGAAACTTACTTGGTGGTGGTGGCTAACCTGGTAGCCTAAAATGTTTTGGAGTACTTACCTGCCTGTACTTCAGCACAGGGCAGGTGGTAGGATGTCCCGGTATTGAGAGGACAACAGAAAAAGGGAATCAAAGCAATACCCTCCGTAGAGAATTCATTTTATACTTGGTATAGTTTCATAAGTCAACTTCAAAGAAAGACAAGCTGAAAGGAAACTTGACAGAGAAACTTGCTGCAAAATTTCCACTCTGCATTCTCTTATACTCCTGGAAAATGTTTAGTACAGATGGTCAAACCCTGTGTCCTGTTAAAAAAAGGCCTCTGCTCCCCTTAATCCATTTATGTATCTTGGCTTCCAAAATCTTGTTTTGTATCCTAAGCTACCAGACAATCACAACAGCTACATCACAGAGTATGTGGTATGTCAGCAAACGACACTGAGGCAGCTGGTTTACACATCTTTCAACAACTGCTCTTGCTCGTCTCCAAAGAGATAATTTTAAACAAAAAGACAACTTCCATTTTTAAAACCACCTCCTAGGCTTGAGTCGGGAGTTGATAACCTGTATTTCCTTTCTGTGGGTCTAGGAAGTCTGTGGGACATTCAACACTGAGATACTAGAAGTATGATTTCAACCTGTTTTATTAATTTGTCTCTCTTTAAAATCATGGCAAAAAATGCTTTTGCTGCGTATGCACTGACTCTCACAGGCAGACACACTCTTGCTGCCTCTCTGCGCCCAGCCAGGCACCCTGACTCCCACCAAACCTCTGTCACTGTCTTCTCCTTTCCCCCTGCAGGTGTAACAGTTTGGGAGCTGATGACATTCGGGTCCAAGCCCTACGATGGGATCCCTGCTAGTGAAATCTCCTCTGTCTTGGAGAAGGGCGAGCGTTTGCCCCAGCCTCCCATTTGCACCATCGATGTGTACATGATCATGGTCAAATGTGAGTTCGGATGGTTTGTGGGTACTCCTCTAAGCTCAAAAAGTGGCACTGTTGTTTTCATTATATCACATTTCTATATGCTGAATTCTTGGCAACGGCATGGAAATATGGTTATGTGAAAAAGACTGTGTGCTCCTTTTACAAGATGAGTGCCATGAGCATAGACACCACAGCACTGTCAGATGCACTTCAAGATCCTGAGTTCTCATCTGATTTCTTCCCTGTTTTTTCAGTTGCTTCTTTTCAGCACCAACTGTTGCAGTAAAATAGCACAAGAGGTAGGGTGTCTCTGAAGCACTTTTTGACCAGATAGGGCACAGCAAGGGGCTTCTGAATCCCAATCCCCTTTTTCATCTATGTCAGCTGCTAGAATGTCAGATTATTACCTTGCTTCCTACATATCCCCTAAGCTGGGACTGGGCTGCATCCCTGCTCACTAGTGTTTGTGAGGATGCTGAGAGGCAGCCCACTAGGTGGCATTTAAGACCTTCTCATTGGAGCAAACTGTACCTGTTGCTGAAATAGGAGCCATGCTACCATGAGCACACGGTAGTGCAGCACTTCTGGGGACTCCTGGAGCACCTGCGCAGTTTTCCTGCACTGTTTTACTACCTCCATCATTCTTCCAAAACTGCCAGGCATGCATTTTAAATGCTGAAATTCACACCAGCTAGTGGCTGGCGAATGAACTTTCTTTGTACCATGCATGTATGGTTTATTTCAAGTTCTGTGTTTGATTGCCAAAGTAACTTTAACTGTGCATTGCTCTCCCTGCTGTCCCACCAGGCTGGATGATCGATGCAGACAGCCGACCCAAGTTCCGTGAGCTGATCGCGGAGTTCTCCAAAATGGCCCGTGACCCTCCACGCTATCTTGTTATACAGGTAGGAAACCCCACAGCAGTAACATGTCTGATGGGCATTTAATATGAGGCCCAAAATGATTTATAACACGTAGGAAAACATATTCCTGGCTTGGACAGGTTTTCCACAAATGTTTTTTTTTTTTCCACTTAAAAGAAGCCAGACCCCACGGGCCCATGTTCTAATGGCATGCTTCCTGCTGGGGCAGAATGATTTCTCCTGCCTGTACCACTGCTGGGTGCTGCAGCAAAAGGTTTTGTTTTATTGGCATTTACTTGAAACTAAAAGATACAGTATAAATGGCATAGATGCGAGGGAGCAAAAGCTGACTGAAATGACAGAGCTTCCTATTTCAGAGAATAAGAATCTGTTGGACTGTTTATCTCCCTGCCGATGAAGGATTATTTCCTGTTAAGTGTTTGCTGAAACATGATGTGGAAAGGGAAGCCATTTAGGAAAGTGAGAGCAGTTGCAGAATAGATTTTGAACATCCTCTCTGGCTCTGACAATAAAAGGAAACAGAGCTGAGCTGTTCGTGATGCTCTCTGCAGTGAGAGCTCACGCTCAGTAACAGCATGAGTTGAGAAAATGTATTGCAATTAGCATTTAACACATGCTGATAATATAAGGCCAAGTTCTACTGTTTCCATTCCATGTCTTAACCAGCTTAGCTAGAACCCCACACAGAATTTCGAGACCAGTCAATATTTTCTTTGTACTGGTCCCAGCCTATGCCCAGTAACATACTGCAATCATTAGAGGAGAACAGAGTTTGAACCTCTTAAAAATGCAGATACTTTACAGCAGTATAGACATCGCAGACCCAAATTCTCCTAAATTCTAGGTAAATTTGGTTAAGTAAGCAGATCAAAATATTGCATCTTGGGCTTCTTACTGAATTTCTTTGTGTCTTAGAGAACAAGCGCTCGGAGGGAGCCTGCGAGTCCTTTCTCACACTGATTTCTCTCACAGGGAGACGAAAGGATGCACTTGCCCAGCCCTACAGATTCCAAGTTTTATCGCACTCTGATGGAGGAGGAGGACATGGAAGACATTGTGGATGCAGATGAGTATCTCGTCCCACACCAGGGCTTCTTCAACAGTCCATCTACATCCCGGACTCCTCTCTTGAGTTCATTGGTAGGAAGCATTTCCTCTCTGATAACAGAAAAAGCAATTTGAGAGTGAAGCATTTCTCATGATGCCTATATTTTCTCTCTCTCTCTTTTTAAAAGAGCGCTACTAGCAACAACTCTGCTACAACCTGCATCGACAGAAATGGGGTAAGTGGGGTGACTTGTAAAAGAGGAGTAGCTCTCTGAGGTCATTTTCCTATTGAAACTCCCCTCCCTCCATTTATACATCATTTATGCGAATAAGCTTCTACAAAACAGTCTCTTCAATACTGATTTTCTGCACTCCCAACCTAGCAGGGGCACCCAGTGAGGGAAGACAGCTTTGTCCAGAGGTACAGCTCAGATCCAACAGGCAACTTCTTGGAGGACAGCATAGATGATGGCTTTCTGCCTGCTCCAGGTGAGTACCTCTCCTGTGTGTCCATCCCAGAGCTATTCATTCACAAGCATTTGGTTATATTCCTTAAGATTCTTGCTTGAATATAGTCGTTTTCCTTCTTCTTCTAGAGAAAGGAAGCAGTCCAAATGCTTCCTGCTTTTTTTTGCTTAGTAAGCAAGAATGAAAATGGATGCGCATATCCTTTCTTATACTTTCCTGGCCACCTCTCATTTCAGTTCCTTAACAAGCCAGGTTCCTCATGTTTGCCATGTGTGCCATCAGGCTGGGGAGTTTGGGTGTGTGTGGGTGTATGTTTGAAGCCTTCTACTACTTCAGAAAATAGCCTGTAAAAATGTTTTTCACCCTTAAAGCCCTTTCTGCAATACAAACAGTTTTCTGGTAGTGTCACTGCTTTCAGATGTTGATACACAAAAGGAAGCTCACAGTTTCCCATTTACTTACAGCGTGGGTAGTTGTAGAGCAAGCCAGAAAGTGTGGAAGGAGTTGTTGCTGGGTTAAGCAGTAACTTTTGATGTAAAAATAAAATAAAAAAAATCAACCTTCTATCCGTTCCCCCAAAAAAAACAGCTGAAAAGACTGATAGATCCTGCAAGGGATGGCATGTAAGCGAGATGTGGAGTCTCTCTTGCTGCCTATCCTGTATTTTCAAGGTATTTCCCTTGTCTTTAAGCATTTTTCAAGGGAAATGGCTTCTGGCAGCCAAACTTCCTGACTGAAATTTCAGAACAGTATCTGGGACATAGCCACCCACACAACACTAAAATCAGCAGTAGCTATTTAGCAGTCTCGTGGTCAGTCATCCTTCTGCTGTTTTGAACACTGAACTCCTGAAGGTGTACTCCAGGGTGGTGCGCTTTGTGCCACAGCATGGCAGTCGCTGTATTTGGCTCTCTTCCCCTCCTAATGCAAAGCTGGGAAGTTTGGTGAGATGCTGTGTGCGAAAAGCGTGGTGCAGCTTGGTTAAAACTGCACCTCGAGTGATGCAAACGGGTGCACTAGTTACACGTCTACATTTTCAGTATCTCATTTGTCTGTTTTTAACTCCAGAGTATGTAAACCAGTTGATGCCCAAGAAACCATCTACCGCAATGGTCCAGAATCCGATCTACAACAACATCTGCCTCACAGCAAACTCAAAGCTCCCCACGGACTCGAGCTACCAGAATTCCCACAGCACAGCCGTGGACAACCCCGAGTATCTCAACACCAACCAGTCTCCGCTGGCTAAAACAGTCTTTGAGAGCTCTCCTTACTGGATCCAGTCAGGTAACCACCAAATAAATCTGGACAATCCTGACTACCAGCAGGACTTCTTACCGAAGGAAACGAAACCTAACGGTCTCTTGAAAGTTCCTGCGGCAGAAAACCCAGAGTACTTGAGGGTAGCAGCACCAAAAAGTGAATACATTGAAGCTTCGGCATGACCATAGAGAATTTCTTCTTGCAGCGAGGCAAGTCAGACTCGTGGTGAATCACCTGGCTGCTGCAAGAACAGACTCTGCTCAGCGTGAATGGCAACCACAATGCATCAATAAGCACACCTTCCCTTTTCAGCGCGTGGGCTGAAACTGCAAAGCCCATCTAACAGGACAGCTTGGGTCTTTTCTTGCTCATTTCCACGTATTAACTGAGGTGCCAGCCCTGCACTGAGATGCGTGTTGAAATGGAGCAAGATCTACCTGTACAGGAGAAATATGGATGCATTCCTTTTGTTTTCAAATGGTAGCATGGTAAGAAGCCACTCTGGGATGAACTTGAGAGCTGTACACATTGTACAGTCAAATTCCTTTCTACAGCATGTATTTTTATAAATGTTTCTTAACAGAATTTTTGGATCTTTTACAAGATCAGATGCTTGTACTGCTGGTCTGTTATGTGGTGCTCAGATCACCAGCAGGAAGAAAAATAATGTTACTAAATAGTTTTCCAAAATTCCTGGAACGGAAAAAGTTATTCCAAACCACCGGATTTTTACAAATTGGCTCCATATACTGCTTCTTGGCACGAACAGGAAAAGTGCATCTGGGGGACGTATGGGAGATTCTGTCCATAGCAGGATGGGGCGGATCGCTCTGGGGAAAACTAGCATGAGGAGCAAACGGCAGGACACATCACCTACTGACCACTACTGCTAAAAGCAGACAGGAGGAACTCAGCACAGAATCATTTATAGATGTTTATAAAGTGCTCACTGCTCGGTTTTCTAATGGTCAAACACAAGACGTTTTTCTGATCCATTTTGTAGGAGCTGTAGAGATGTCAAAATGTCTTTCTTCGACAAAACTGTTAAAGATGTTGAAAACTGAAAAATGAAGTGTCAAATAATGTTTAACAGTCTTTAATTAAATGTCAAGGAAATGCAAATGGTGGCAAATTGGAGCATTCATGAGACACACAGGATGCACTATACTAAATTAAACTTGACTAGGGCAAGAAACACAGGTAGCTCTAGCCGAGCACTTTTATTTCCCTTCTTAAAGGGACTCCGAGCAGAAATCATCCTGTATATAATTTGGCAAAGAAAAGGGTGGTGTCAGCGTTACACTTTCTGCACTTCCAGGCAGAATACAGCAAATTGCAGTATCAAGACACGGGGCAGAGGCTGAGGCTATTTTCACATTGTACCTCCCGCTTGGGTTAACCTTTTATAGCCCCTGTCAGTGCAGGAGGAGCAGTGAAAATGCTTTAAGGAAAGGAAGAGTAATCTGGAGCGACAGAAAAAGTTGTCTTCTTCTGAAACACAGGGCTGCCTACTGCTTCTTTAAACACCCATCCTGGTCTGTTACCAGTGTGGAAGAGGCAGACCAGCCAAAGCTAGAATTTTAGCTTAATAGTAAGTATATAGACCCTGTGTGTTAACAGTGTGTTAATCACAGTAAGTGAAACAGCTATTCTTTCGAGGGACCCCTGTTACAGAACTTAAACTCCTCCGTCATTAACATTTCTTATGAAGGTAGTAGGAGTAAAATGCCCAAAGCGTGAATTCAGCCAGTAACTTAGAAGCAGCTTGGCAGTGCTATTTTAATCAAATCATTAGCTCAGAAATCAAATGCACATTTGGCAATTCTGGTACGAAGGCCATTAACTAGTTAAGTGTTGGGAACTTACTTGAGGTAGCACTTTAAGTAGCAAGAAATTGTTAAATGTGTGCTGCCACTGTGCTTGGAGTCTCTCAGTGCGTGCTTCAGTTTAAGTATTGCATCTGGACTCCAGGATCAAGCAGAAAATCCTTAGAACATTGGTTTTACAGATTTATTGAGGAGTAAAGGAGAAGAGTGGTCATGTGAAATGACCCTTTTTAAGAGTAATGCAGTGGAAAATGTGTTAGTAACTTCTGTGCGTGCTGTAGTTCATCAGCCACACTGCAGTTTGGGGTAAAGAAGTATATTTGGTCAAAATCCAATGGTAGTCCTGGTGTGCTGTTTCACAGATTTGTGTCAGTGAAACCAAGTCCTAGCCACAGCACTATGGAAGATGCAGTATTTGATTATTACTTGTTTGTGTTTAAGACAATAACCAAAATTCAGTTCCTATGGTCCAACTTGTGGCAGATTACTCCGTGCATTCCTGAGAGCAGATTTGTTCTGTTGCTCTCACAAGTGTGCAGCCTGTATGCACAGGCAGTGCTTTTCTCTCCACCCACTACCCCAAGAGGAATGTAAATAAAATGAAAATGTATTTTAACAGAAATCATGGATAATTTTCAGATTGCTAAATCTGTTATGTCTCTAAGCAGAACACTAGAAAATCATACAGTGCAAGTTCTCCCGCAGGATCTTTCCAATGCTATTGCACAGAAGAATGTACTGGTGTTTTGATTTAACCTTCTATCTAAAACAAGAAAGCCACTGAGAAGTGGCAATATGTATCACCAGCATTATGTAGCAGTGAAAATTATTTAATAAAGGTTGATTTGCTTGCCCTTTTAAAGTAATTTAGGAGGAATTCAGTAGAGACTCATTACTAGTAAGGGTCTTATTTACTAGTAAGGGAAATTCATCTAAAATTAAACAATGTAAGTTTGAAAGATCATAATTTTTGGAATACATTGTTTCTGATGAGAAAAGTAAGAAAGAGGATCTAGGACTACAAGCTTCTTGATATAAGCATACAGGAAGATTCCAGATTTGTGGGATTAGCTGAATTGTGAAATAATTCTAGTAAATATGCACCTTGTAAGCCACGATATGTAAATAGGCAGCTCGGTAATGATTCAAAAGCCAGCAAATGATAAATTGGCAGTGCCTCGAGGAGCAGATACAGTGGCACTGGGAGTGCATAGCTCCAAGGCTGTTGCTGGAGGCACAGGTGCTACAGGGTAGTGGTACTTGTAGGATAACAGGCATTAGCAAGGTAGCCAACCATTGCCACTGAGATGAAAAAACAGAAAAGAAAAAAAAAAAAGTAGCTGAAATATTGTTTTTTGTTTTTGCTGTTGTTTCTTTGTTGGCTTTTTTTACCCCACTGTAGGTCATAGACCATCTAACAGCAAATAGCCCCATGCACATCACAGTTGCTTGTAAAAGCAAACATGGTCAGGCAGCGGTTTCAGGGAGGGGGTCATGGGACCACCTTGCTGATGCAGTGTTGTACAGAATGCAGGCTATTGAATGGGACACAGAAGTTGTGTTTTTTTTTCAAATACTAGAAAAACATAAATGCACTGAGAGCTTACGTAAATCAGCATCCAAAAATAACTTAAAACTTCTGCCGTTGTCTCCAAGGAGGTGCGGGTATAAAATACCGTTTTTTAAAATGCAACTAAATAGGGAAATGTAACAGCCACAGCCACTGTTAAATGCTAGCAGAGTCTTACCAATCCAAAAAATAAAGATTCCATTTTCACTATATTTCTCATGGAAGGCAAAATGACAGCACACACAAGTTAGGGCTCACTGTCTCTTAATCATAAAGCAGCAGTTAACAAGGAACTGTTTTTGCAATAATAATTTAAGCACTACATGCTCGGAGACTTTTAATAACTGCTCAGTATATGAAAATATAAGTCAAGAGTCTTCACATTGCTTTGATGTTTTCCAGTGTACACTGTCAGTGCACTTTACTTCATTTGGGCCTTGGGTTGTTTTCTTCTGCTGCAAAGGGAGTTGGCTTGGGAAATCTCCTTCATGTTGCAATACTTCTGGTAGGGTAAATCCATCTTAGAGGGTGGGATCTTACTCTTTTTTCCAGCTGACAGGCTACTGCACAGTGAGTTTTCCAGAGAAAGCAGTTGGAAATAGACACTGTGCCTTGTGGTTTTGGAACATCTCAGGGTGCTTCCCTGTCCCCCCAGGTCACAGTCAGATGGCTGTGTGAACGTCCAGCATTACAATATATGCTCTCATGGTTTATTTGAAAGGAAGGGGCTTGTGCAGGGAGAGTAATGCCAGGTTTGGGGCATGGCCAGCTAATCCATCCCAAGACAGCTGCCAAATTTGCCAAAGGACATCACTGAAACCATTGACTGTTACTGCACGCGTGGGTGAGAGTGGATAGATGCACACACTTCTTCCCACTGCCAGAATGAAAAGAAGTCCACTGCATTTCTGCAGAGATTGCCTGTGCAAAACCCAGCATGCTCAGCCTTTGTGCTATGGGATGACTCTCACCCCAAGCCTGGAGGGTGCAGCCAGGGCTGTGGCAATATCACAGGACCCCAAGCAGCTCAAGCAGGTCCCATGACAAGGTGCCTGGTGTGTCCTTGGGCTGTCTGGGGGTGCTCCAGGATGCCAGTGAGAAACTTTGCATTTCCAGACAAGCACTCATTTTTCAGATTCAGAGTTCAACACATTCTATTAGTATGACTGCTGCCTCTCCAGATGAGGTGTTACAGGATGCCGGCTTTTATTTCTCCCCATGTTTCTCCATGAGAAAATGTTGAATCAGGACAAAGTATGAAAATGTACCTGTGCCCTCCTCCTGATGAAAACTGTATACTGATGAAGTGTCAAACTCTGTGTATAACACTTAGCAAGAATGCTTTGTAATGTTTTATCACCACTGATTCAATTTTCTATATGGGAATCCCATTTTCTAGTGTTCTTTTTGTAAGTTTTATCTCTTTGTTCCAACATACAACTTTATAAGGAGCCTTTAAAAAAATAGAAAGTTTATATAAAAGAAAAACACGACACCTTTAAGTAGCTTTCTAAATAGGCTGCATTAGGACCAAAGATATAATGTCTTGTTTTCTTGCTTTAAAGGAATAGGGTATTGATCACCAACCACTTCCACAGCATCTCATTACTGGGAAAATCTGCAGAACTCATTGGGACTGGGCCATAGTGCCACTGTGCCAGGAGGACTTGACAGGAGGATGAGGCCTGTCCATAGAAAACTAAACCAAATATCAGGACCAGGTAACACTTCAGGGCCAGATCTATGACCTCTACACATTTTTGATTCATTGTCTATTGAATACAATTGTAAAACAAAGACACAAGAAAAAAATAAACAAATACTTTATGCTTTGGCTCAACATCAGGAAAAAATACAATGATGTGAAGATGAGATGATTAGATAACTACTTTTTATGTGAGGAAGTGTGTAGGCTGGCAGTGAGAGTTTAAAATGATAATACTTTGGGTTATGTATTACTTTAATTGTGAGGGGGAGTTGAAATCATGGCACTTCCATGATAGGCTTTACTTTCTGTCACATGTTTTGCCTACTTTGGGCGTTGTGTGTATTTGCAGATCACCTGTGTTAGCATAGCCTGGTGGACTGAACATTATAGCTCATTCATATGAGTAAGAGGTACTGCACATAAATCCCTCATTCTTTTACATGGGAAGATGAAGCGGACAAGGAGAGAAAGTGTGGAGACAGTAGGCTGTACCACAGGTAGTGGTCAAGGAAACCCTCAGTAACATCAGAGAAAAAGGTTTCCTGATGAAAAAGAGAGAACAGAGGACCTGGCTGGCAAAAGACACATCACCTGCACCCCTGCAGTCAGCAGGCAAAATACCTTTGGCCAAGACTTGATGCTGGTGCTCCATCATCAGTTTTGCTCTTGTCCTCTTATGTGTTTCAGCTTTGTTGCAGATGAGGCTGTCTGGATGCAAGACAGAGTGGGTTTTGCGGTCTCTCTGTACCTTTCTTTTTGAAGTAATGGATTTTCTAATTAATAAAGTGGAAAAAAAAAAAATCAAAACCACAGCTGTGAACCTATCAACCAGACTTGCTGAAGGTTTTCTTGCCATGTAGCTGATACGGTACATCTTTTCCAGTCACTCTGGAATTTAGCCAAACCATTCTCCTGACCTCTCACAATCTATCTGAAGACTGTGGAATTTCAAATACCATCAGTGCTATCCTCACATTTTATGAAAGGGAATATGTGAAGTAGTCGTCTACAATGGTAGGAAGGTTGGCTCACATACCTAGGTTTCTTTTTAATCCTACATTCCTAACACTGTTCCCCTTGAAATTAACGGGATGTTTGACTTGATTTCACTGAGAGTATAAAACAAGGCTAATGTTGAGTGATTTTGATAATGAGAGATCCTATGGATCCATTGCCCCATTTTAGGCTGCTTTGTATTGATGCAATCAATTGAGTATAAGGAATAATGTTTTGGTTTTAATGAACTGTCAAGCAATATACCCATAGATACGGACGGTACCTTGCAGCATTGTAAAGTTACTCAACTATGAAAGCACTATTTGTACAATAAGAAACTCTCGACTTTTATATGGTTTAATAGTTTATACTGTTGATCAAAGATTGTTTGTATATTGAGCGATAAAAAATGAGGTGTATATTATTCTTTTTAATTGTTTTTAATTTTTGGAGAACTCTATTGTAATATACTGTTGTATTTGGGGGGAAGAAAAATCAGTGGGTAGCTTGTAGGGTTTTTAGCCAGACAGGAACTCACAATAAGGGTTCTTTATTGGTTGACTTAGATTTTCGTACAAGTTGTCACCCTGGGGATTTATCCAGAGCTTAGTGAAACTAATAACAAGACCCTTTCTTCTCTCCAAGACTCTTTGGCCTCTCTCCATATACGGTACTGGAGTTCCATAATGTGAGCAATAATACAGCTAACAATTGTGAAAATTGGAAGTGCAATATGAAAGCCCAGGTGCTGCTTATCAGGGCGCTAATAAAAGCTGCTCTTTCAAAATGCATGGCAGGTTCTCACTTCAGTTTTATGGCAAAAGCAGAAGCACAGTCAAAGCAATCCCTCAAATTCTCATCCATATTACATTTGGCTTATGAAGCCATACTTCTGGCCATCTGTGAATTTCATAGTCATGTGTTGTGCAACAGCATTGCAGCAGGACTCTGTGGTAAGGAAAGTCAAAGTCTCAACTAGAGTCACATACATGCAAAACATTTACATTATTATATGACACTAGCAAGAAAGAGAAATTCTGTTAGCAAAGCCAGACAAATAAAGCCTCAGGGTCCCCCGAATATTGGTGTTTAATTATCCAACTCGTGGAACACGTAGCATACAACAGGAATTGCAGGGTCATAAATGTAACAGCAAAATACATTGGGTCTACAAGACACTAAAGAAGAGAGGAGCTGGAACTGACAGTACATGTTCAGCCTGGATGAGTCCCTGGTATTGTCATTAGTAAATTAAATAATTTCTGTCTTTATAGATTAACTTTGTACACAGGAGAAAAAAAAAAAAAAAAAAAGCCACTACAGCACCTTTCTCATTTTCATCTTTCCATCCAGTCCCTTCCAATACTAGGCTGCATTTTTACCAGCTCAACTTATTTTATGCAGAAATGATGTAGTCTTAATCTTCATATTACTGGTTCTCAGAAATGTCTAATGCGTATTAATGCATGATATTTTTATTTTAATAAAAGTAATTAAATAAATCTTTGCTGTTTGGGAGCATTTTTTTGTTTTTGTTTTTTTTTTGTTTTGTTTTGTTTTCCCTCTTTAGTGATCACCTGCCTTGGGAAGACTGTATGTACATATGTTAGTATTAATATTATTAACTTCAAAAGGAAAATGAAACATATATGTCCATTAATTTCCTATGTGAAGATCACAAAACCATTTACAGATAGATTTAAAAGCCTTCTTTATCAGGCAGGAAACTGCTCTTCCCTGTATTTCACATGTAGGAAATTAAAGGCACAGCAATACTCAGAGAGATGGAGACACTGATGGAGATAAATTCCCCTGCTAAAGAATGGGGTGGGTATAAAAATGTGTGGATATTTGGGAAAAATAAGCATTCAGAAATTCCACTGATCTCAGTTCAAATAACTAAAATATAAAAAGTGACAAAGGATGCAACAGCACAAGACAGCCAATGAAACACAGCTGCAGTGTAATCCCCCTATCTGCCTGCACAGGATATGATAGGTTACGATAAGATAAAGAAAATTGCTATTTAAAGATAGGAGAGGAAGGCAAGTCTCTGCCATATCCTTCCATCATTATCCTCAGCAGCACTGATCAAGCCATGCCCTTTACTACTCCTAAACTCATGCTGGGATAGAGCAAAGCAAACCTTTAGGGAACTCATTTAACAAGCAACAATTGCATCAGATCATGTAAGAAATTTCCAGGATAGCCAGTAAGAGCTGACACACTCTGAGGAGGCCCACAGCCACAGCCAGACCACCTACTGCAGTGCCCAGGACAGACCTACATGTGCAGTCCATCGCTGAAGATGGGAGAGCTGGACCAAGCCATCCTGTCTGTGTGGCCAGGTTTTCTGTCCCAACACTGGTGGCAGTCACACAGCTCATGCCAAGGGCTCACTAGCAGAAGAACATTTCTCCATGTGGCATCGAGGCTGGCACTTACTAATCCACCAGCTCAGCCTCCTTGAAATTGCATTATGTTTGTTGACAGAGATGGGCTCTGATCAAATGTTGGTGCCCACCAGAGGCAGACTCATGGCAGACCCACCAAGAGCAATGCCACGGGGACTGCAGGCACCAAGGGACACATCCTGTGCAGGGTGCTTGGTGGGGTGGTTGGGCTTCCTCCCTGTGGGTCAAGGTGGCCCACTTGGAGCCCACCTGGAAGTACATACACTCAGCAGTAAGCCCCCAGACCCAAAATGTAGATTATTGCTACTCTTTATTTAGGAGAGGAGCTGGAGTTAGATAGAGATTAGGTGGTGCTTTAAATTTTTCACTGGGAACTGAAATCTCTCTAATAAGCACCATCTGTGCGGTGTTTAACACCAGAGCTCCTATTTCAGAAAGCCTTTTGCTTTAAAACCTCTTGCTTTATGAAGAGAGCAGAAGGAACATCATTTAATGCATGTGTTAACCCCAGAGGCTGCTGCTTTCGGTGAGTTACAGCCCTGTGAAACTAAACCAGCTCAGAAATAGTGATTTATTTGTCTTCTGTATCTAGTATCGTATGAGCTGGGTTTTCTTCTGTTGGTTGTTTTTTCCTTCTCATTTGTTCCTTTTGAGTACAGATATGGGTTGCAGTAAACTTCACAGGTCTCCATCCCTCTCAGGTGGGAGCTATGATGATACAGGAGATGGCTGTTTTTCCCTCACAGACGTTTTATGTAGCTGTATTTGTACTGGCACTCTTAACAAGTCAAAGTGCAGTTAATAGGAGTCACAGCTGGCTGTATCGGTTTCTGTCTAGTCGTTGAATCATCAACAGCACCGGAGTTGTTTGTGAATTTAGTGATGGTGGATAAAAAATACAGCAATGTGTGACCTCTGCCACTGCTCATGGAGACAGAGCCACGCTAGGCCCAACCCTGCTGGGCTCAATGGAAACATAACAGTGAGGCAGCTCTTGCACAGCAGGGTGGTGAGGTCCTCCCAGCCTGTCCCCTGTGGACAGCCCCACCGTTTGGGGATTGTGGACATAAAGCTATCGGAGATTTCTAGAGAGAAAGCTTGTGAAGCCTGCATGGGCTCTGGGGCCTGCGCTTGGTGCTTCGTGCCCAGCAAGCATGCTGGTGCTGCAATGAGCCTTGCTGTTGAAGGCAGTGGAAGGAAGGCTAACAGTGCCCTCTCTTGGAAGAGAAAGAAACCGTACACGAATATATAGCTTTAGTATCTGTCTCCAAGCAAACAGAGCAGAAAGAAAATAAAAAATGAAAAATAGCTTGCATGGGCAATTTATTTTCCAGTCCATTCAGAGTACAGGTTCACGCTACATTTAATCCAGGCTAAGTACGGGCTGCTGCTGTAAAGGGTTGCTGGACTGATCCGATGGAAAATAAATCCTTCTCTCTGATGGCTTAGTTTCAGTGGATATGCAATGCAATTACATGCACAAGAGATCTGACATCTGACATGGCAATGTGTGTCCCAAGGACATGATTGTACTCCTTGGTGACAAGCGTACGTCCTTCTGCCCCCAAAAGCTCTTGTGCATGTTCCTGTGAAGTACTCCATTTCCATAGCACTCCGTTATTTTTCGTGTCATGTAAGAGAAGCTATATTGTGCAGATAATGCTGTGAAGAGTTAAAATAATGCAGGTAGACAGGCTATGTCAGGACAAAGGAAATTAGGTTCATTTTTGGCTTGTGATTTTTAAACTACTGGTGGGAAGTAGTCTTTCTCCAGAGTTTCTTCTTCATTTGAGGAGATTCCAGCATTTGACATATTGCAAAGTAAATAAATATATATTTGGTGAAAAGTCATGGTCTTATGTAATCCTTCCAAAGTAAAAACTTCCATATATTTTCAAAAAATATTATATTATCCCCTGTCTTGCAATACAATTTTTTCCTATTACGTGTTTTATTGGTTCAGAACACAATGGAGATTTGCCTAAAAATCTGGATTATTTGTGTTTTGTTGCAAATAAGCATGTTGAAATTGAGTTATAAGCAGGTAAGGCTCTGAATTTTTCTCAGATCAAGTGTTAAGTGAACAATCTTAATTCCCATCACACATCAGCTGTGTAGGTGAGCAAAAGTAACAAGATGCTTTTATTCCAAAAATGGGGTTCTTAGGGACCTTTTGTATTTGCAGAGGGCAGCACACACATCTGTGAGGTACATCTCCGTAAGTGATAAGACCATGGATCTGTGTTCCTCCCAAAAGGTGGACTGCTTTCTCCCAGTTTTCATATCTCTGATGTATGGCAAAACCATGCTTGTTATATTTCGACTATCATTTGAAGAGCAAGCAAGTGGGCTGATACCCCTGCTGGGGAAGTCTGTGTGTGCCAAGAGAATGTTATCCCACCAGGTAGCAGGCAGCATCAAGATATACCTTCCTAGTTACCTGGTGGTGAGGCAATGGGCTTTTGAAATCAATACAAAAAGGCAGGCAGGCAGCAAGCAATTCCTGGGAGAAACTGTGATCTATATGTGATTAAACAACAGTTATTAGAGGTATCACTGAGGCCAAATTCATCTTTGTATGCATCCTTGTTAGAGTGCTAATTACAGTGGCTTCTCTGATGCTTTCCTTCAGTAAAAGCTGGTTCAGACCAATTGGGCACCTCTCCCAAGGGGACAATGGTCCCTGGGAAGCTTAAAATCATTATGTAGCAAGAGATGGGCCCGTTGAGATGCTGGCAGTGGGGATAGCCTGGAGGATTTTCAGCAAGCTGGTTACAAAGGGAAGCGAGTGTCAAGAGACAGGAGAGTAGAAATGGCACATTTAGACAACCCAAAGTAATCCTGCAGAGACCTCCATGGTGACACTGGCTGCTTCACAGTGAGCAACAAAAATTTAGGTTCACAACAACCCTGAAAGGTAGGAAAATGTATAGTACAACAGGAAAATGAGATAAAGAAATGCAAACCAGGCTGGTGTGGGTTTGCCTAATAGGGAGGGAGATAATAGGTTTTCGTGTAGCTGCATAAGAGTTGTCAGGATGGAAGAAGAGCATCCTTCTTAAGGAGGGAGAGAGAACCTGGAGGAAGGATGAGATAAGACAAGTCAGAGGCTCATTAACAGACTTGGTGGGGAGGGAGAAACTGGTGTTTTAAAGAAAAGTGGGGAGTTGTTTGAGTACTCTTCAGATATTTTGTTTATTTTTTGGACTTGTTTCTTCATCAGAGGAGAATGGAAATCTATCAGACCTTGCTTGGAAAACAAACCCCTTTACTGAATGTGACTTTTGCAAAGAGATGCTGAATATGTGGTCTTCGGGTCTAATTAGAATCATAGAATATACCAAGTTGGAAGGGACCCATAAGGATCATCAGGTCCAATTCCTGGCACCACACAGGTCTACCCAACTTCTTGCAAAGAGGTTTGTTCAGCAGGTAGAAAAGGGCATAGGCACATATATAGTCTCTTGAAGGATGCAATTAACTATTTTGCAAGCCTATAAGCTGCTTACATAGAGAAGATATTACCTCAAAGAGTGTTTAAAGCATTCATATATGACACTTCATCCTGAATGCTGGGTTACTGAGTATTGAAGTTATCATTCAAAACGTTTACCCAGAGAATTTTCTTGGGTGGAAAGACTGCTATTAATTATTAACATCTATTCCAAACTACTCTAATGACCACAACATGAATTTATGCTTTCTCACATAACGAAGCACCAAAATATTACCCAGCTGCTATCAGGAAATCAATAACTAGGTTTATTGCAAACTGCATTACCCCAGGAGGATACATGTCATCCTTTTCACACACTCCTTTAACACTACGTTTTAGCCACTGGGAGAGGAATGACATTTTGCCAAACTGACCTTTGATCTGATGACACAGACAGAATTTTAACAATACTGGTGGAAACTATAGGGCAAGCCTGGCTCCAGCCATACTTGAAACGCTTTTGGTGATTTACTCTCATTCACCAAGCAGAAAAATTATTCCCTATTGCTGTGGCTGCTTCAGCTCTCCAGGTAGTATAAAGCAATGGGGTCCAATTGGAGCCCTGCTGACTTAAATCCACTGAGCCAATGGTGCTTTACATCAGTTTA